TATTTAATAATGGTGCACATGATAGTGTTGGTGGTCAACCAACAGTTGCTGGTAATTATGAGAAATTTTCATTTTGTCACATAGCTCAGGGTTGTGGTTATAAACATGTAATGATAGCTACAAATCAAATTGAAATAAATGAAGCAATGAAAAAAATTCATGAAATTAATAGTGATGGTCCAATTTTACTTGAACTTCGAGTTCGAACTGGTCATAGAAAAAATTTAGGTCGACCAACACGATCAACTAATGAAAATAGAAAAGATTTTATGCATTTTTTACAATTGAATTAATCCATTTGTTTTTTCATTAGTTTTGTTAATAAAATATTATTATGAATTTAATTATTATTTATAAACTACTTTTTTTTCGGTAGATGTTTACATAAGAAATGATAAAGAAATTAGCCAAGCGAGCAAAGGACGTCTAAAAGGATTAATCTTTTTTCTAGCCGTGATGATATGTCTTGTCTAGCCTTTTTATCAAAAAGTTCTTTTATATGGGTATTGCCTATTTAAAAAAAAAGCGGGTGGATATTTTTTAAATAACTTTCTGAGAGAAGCAAGATAGAAAGCTGTAGTTTTCACTGTTGGAAAGAGGAAATAAAGACGTATCGAATGGTATATTATAGGCTTTTCTAAGATCTTTTCTAAAGTGTTCTTAATCAATTTTCTGAAAAAATGTTGAAAAATTGGTTTCTCTTAAACTAAGAAAAACGCAAAGAAGTAATTTTTTTCACAGAAATTGATAGAAAAATTAGCTAAGAATTTCAAATAAAATGAATATGTATTCTGAATGAGTAAAATTAAAATTCTGAGCCTTGCACAGTTTTGTAGATCTTCCTTTAGCAGTTCGAATGCACACCTGATTATTGAAAATTGGTCTTAGTCACCTTAAGGAATATGTCGATTTTAGAAAACATCGATTTAAGTCCTTGAAAGAACTACATCAAATCACTCTTTAATATACAGTTCGATGCATCTCTATCTCCTCTTTCCAATGATGAAAATCGTAGCTCTCTACAGTGATTTCATCAAAAGTTATCCAGAAAATCCTCACTTGCCCTTTTTTTTGAAATGGGTAATAGTTCAAAAAATATTTATAGTCTATCATTCACGTTTTGACTGCTTAATCAATGGTCGTCCTTTGGTTTATCATGTCTAGGATGTTTGTGAAAAAAGTAGGGAGTCCACGACGCTCCATACGACCAATTGTGAGTGTGGATAGGTGCAGAGTAGCAATTGGATCTCTGCAACATCCATAGCCATACATCGGCCCTTTCATCCTTTTTCTTAATATTTTTCATAGAACTTTTTTCAAAAGTCAATTTTTCACCAATCAATGACTCCGACAAACCAATGAGAATTTTCATGTAACAAACTAATTGTTTTATGATTGAGGAAAGTTCTCCATGCACTACAATCTTCAATGATTTTAACACCATATTCATATTTAACTGATCTATTAGAGATATGCTATTTGGAACATACAAAGCTTCAAAATTTTCTGGAAAATTATGTGAGAAAAAAGAAAATATTCATAGTCAGCCTTTGGCCGCCTATTATGGATGTTCACTTAGAGACTAAGCAATTTATACTGTTGTTACTTTGCATTGAAATCCATCAAGCCACATAAATCGATGTTCTTAGTGTCGAACTATACGATACAACACATTTTAAACTTTTTGTAATTGTAAATGTTTCTTAATCATGAATGATCTGTCAGTAGTTTCATTGTATCTATCATAAATATTTTATATGTTTTATTAATATATTCCTTAGAAAAAAATCAAAATAAATATCCATTCTATCATCGTAAATGCTACTTATTTTGTTTCTTTGATGCTGATTTTTTCATTAGGAAAAGTTGTAAAAAATACTGTTTTGGAATTTTGATCGTTTGTCAAAAAACTCTACTTTGTAGTTCGCATTTTTCCGGATCGAATCATGATATTCTGATTAGGGTCCACAATTTTATAACGCATATTTGAATGCAATAAATCAAAATTCTCTTTCTTGTCTTCATAATCAGTGAGGTCATTGAGATTGTCTTATTTCTAGAAGAAAAAAAAAATAATAATCTGATGAATTATAATCCTACATTTATTATATTGTGCTTTTAACTGTTCTGTAACAGTTTGAAATAAATAAAAGAATAAAGAGGAGAAAGACTATAAAATGTTAAAGAACTTTAACAACTTAATAGAATAGTTACAACACAAGTTTGACACGATAAATGGAAGAAATACAATACAAATTAACTATTATTTGTTATTTAAATTCATCCTATGAAAAATCTAAATTTGAAGATATAAGTGATAAACAACTAACAAATGTAAAATTTTTCAATAATGCTGATGAATGTATTGATTATATTACGTGTTCTTCAAATAAAAACGAAAAATTTCTACTTGTTATGTGTGACTATTCTCTATCTGACATTTTTGTTACAGCACTCGACAAATTTTCTCAATTAGTAAGTGTTTTCTTGTTGTGGAATAAAAACGAAGAAAATTACAATTCTATGGAACATCACTGAATAAAAAATTGTACGAAAGTAAATAGTTTCCATTCGGAACACTATTCTAATAAAATGATATTCAGTGTAGATCTTATGATACATAAAAAGTAAAATTCCATTGCTTTAGATCAACACTATGCATAAAAGAATTTTCTACAAGAAAATGTTGATCTTACTTTGCTCTCATTTCATTCGGAAGAGCAAATATTTTTTTTCTCTACAGAAGAAATAAGCAAACAGTTTATTCTAATTTCGACTTTTCAATTTTCTCACGTGTTTTGATTATTTTATGTTTATAATATTTCGGGTCAAGAAGGAATAGCAATGTTTCATTTGTAATGCATGTCTTATAATATATCATCAACAAAAGAACGTAAAAAAGTCATCAGTATATCACAAAGCAATTATGTTTCATTATGAAAATCTATGTGAATATTACACTATCATTCTGAAAAGTCAATACCTTTAAACTCTAGTTTATAAGTTGAACCAACTTAGGAATACAAAAGTATGAGTAACTTCACTTAACTAAATCAAAATGACTAATAATGTTTAACTGATCAAAAAATAAAACCAAACACTGCATTTAAAGACGAGTAATCGGATGTAAAATCGAAATTCTCTAAAAATCACTAATAAGACAACAAAAATGATAGAGACGAAAATCCTAGTTTCGTATGTATCAGGATACCAAGTGAACATTAAAAAAATGCATTTTGCAGACTCCTACTTTTCAAGCTACGTGAAAATTTTTATCACTTATAAAATCAAAATTGAACTTTAAATCGATGATATACAACTAATGATAAGCGAGAACATGTTGTCCATATCTAAATGCAACATATTATGTGTTTTTTCACAATCACAATTATACGAATTATGAATAGTTCCGAAACATGAAAATTGAGCATTTCACAATTTTTTCTGGTAGTTTTATATGGTATAAATATCCAAACATCGCTAATGAGAGAACAAAATTTCGGTGATGTGTTAGTCACTTACTACGAAGAACTTTTGATCATAATCATCTCTCATCATAAAAATTTGAGGTTTATACATCAATAATGAGACAAAAAACTAGTGTATCAAAGTATAATTCTGAAAATTTTACGCTATGAACTTTTTGATTCTATGAAGGAGTCACTCATTAGTATGAAAAAAATCTTGTTTCATACTATTTTCTTAGGTAAAAGCTATTTTTCATACGACCAATGAAGTATGCGATGAATAACTACATTCAAACAAAAATATTTTCGACAAAATCAAAAAATATTTTTTAATGTTTACAATAATCACAATAATTTATTCGTACATGATCAGTCTAATGCTGCTGCTGCTGCTTGCACAACAATATCCGTTCTTACAATCTTTAATCGTAGTGAACAATCATCTACATCTGATCTTCATAATGAAAATGGAAATTTTTTATGGTTTCAATTGTTTATTGAAATTCTCTTTTAAGAATGAAATTTAATCAACAGGCAATAAAAACATAATTAATACAATATTTAAAAAATATCTATAAAGATAACCGAACAGAAATATTGAAAATAGAAGAATTAGAACAACAATATTCATCTGATACTGCTATACGATGGTATACCAAAGATATGTGTATATTTAAGCAATTGAATGAAGCATTACGAATTAAAAAAAAGTTGAATTATTAATTGGATTAAGTTGGTTTATTTCCGATCTCTACAAACAATTAGCTCAAGAAAGTATTTCTCAAAAGACAAAATCCAATGGTAAACCAACAGCAACTGTTTATCGTAGTCAATTAATTACTATAAAAGAACTTGAACGAATACAAAATTCTATTGAATCATTTCTTTCATTTCTATCAATAAAACAGAAGATCGTTTTGTCGCAAGTGTTTTTGCAGGAAATACTAGTAATCGGAATGATGATTTTATTTCTCTACTAATTGAAATAAAGACCGATCGAAGAATGAAAAATATAAAACCTTATATGCTAATATTAATCATTACACAATATTTCCATATGAAAAAGAAATTCTATTTATGTTAGGTACTGTCTGTCGAATTGTTAATCTTAAATTTAATGATGAAGATAAACAATGGATTTAATCATTAGAACTTTGTAATGAAGATGATAGAGATTATCAACAAATGTTTGAACATGAAAAAAAAATGAATTAGTTGGTGTAAATCCAACTTATTATAATTTAACTGAATTAATGTATCGTATTGGTGATTATGATACAAATGAAAAATATTTCAATCAATATTTAGAAATGGATATAAATGAATATGAGACTGTTTTATGCTATGCTTCTCTAAGTAAAGTATATCTATGAAAAAATGATACAAAATTTCGAATGGAATGCATTAAAAAAGCATATAAAACTTTAGAAAATCAAATGGCAGCTATTAAAGAATTAACTAGATTAATGAACAACACTTTTGCTAAACGAGGATGAAAATTGTGATATTTATATAAACAAAGCTCAAGTAAATATGACAAATAAACGTGATGATTTAGCTATTTTAAATTATACAAAAGCATTAACTATTCAAAAAAGACAATTACCCGAAGATCATCCAAATATTGCTCGTACACTTTTCAGCATGGGGTCATTGTTATGTAGCATTAAAACAATACGAACAAGGAGAAAAATTAATGCAAGAAGCATTACAAATACGTCGAAAATCATTGCCTGGTAATCATCATGATTTTGCATTGACCTATAGTAGTCTGGGTTTACTCTATAAAATTATAATGAAAAATGAATTAGCTTTAGAATATTTTCTAAAAGCACGTGAAATACATCTTGCATCTGGTGAACCTGATTTACTTGATCTTTTGATTACTGAAAGAGGCATTAGAATGCTACAAGCTAGTGATTATCGCGTTTCATCGCCATCATTAAAATAATTTTAAAAAATAGATAACTGAAATATCGACTATTCTCTTTTTTTTTCTGTAAATTTTGACATTTTTACCTACTAGTTAAAATCTTAATATTTGTACTTATTGCTAATCAACAGAATGATAACATTTTTTTTTTTCATTTATAAACTCTGAAAAACAAATTCTATAATCGAAATAAATGTATTTTTAAACATATTTTCATCTATACTTAAGTTTTTCTGTAAGAGTCGTGAGCAATTTTTATTTGCAATGGTCGATTAATCAACTCTTAAAGATATAACATAGTGAAAAACTGTAAAGTATGATATTATGCTTATATTTTCATTAATCTTTCATTGGCTATGGTCAAGAGACATTTTCATTGTATTCAAGAATGTAGAAAACATTTCAAATTCAGTTTTCGAGAAACAGATCATTCAAAAAAAAAACTCCGACGGTCCAACTAATGATTACTTTTACGTTAGATGGCTCAAAAAAGTTTCTATTATTAAGAACTGATCCAGTGTATCAACTTACACAATATTTGACAACGATTGTTTGAATCTATTATTTGTACATTGATCGTCAAAGTTCATCAGCTACGTAAGTCAAGTAATGTACAAATCAGTGTTTGATTTGTTTATTTTTCAGTGATCAAAATATTTAGCTGAATTTTTAAGATCAACAGTGCGTGTGAGAATGTGGCTATGTGTACCGAGTCTTTATCGAACCCAATTCGAAGTACCTATTCGCGAGGAAAAACTATAATTATACACCTTGTACTGATTAGGAAAAACTTAATCATTGAGAATTAAATGTTCTAATCAATTATTTCTTTCTTTTTTGAATATTATCATTCAAATATAAATTTTAGTATGTTATTTAAAATATTCATTTTCTAATTATTCGAAATAACATAATTAATAAGTATTTATATGTATTTACTCTGTTGTTTTTTTTTTCTTCTTAATAAATATTGTATTTTAGAAGATTAATTTAAAGATATAAAAATTTTATAATTAAATTAATTTAATCAAATGAAATAATTATTAAGAATTATTAACATTTCAACAATCAAATTTATTTTCATTAGATGAAATGTAAGAATATATAAATTATTTTTTTTTTTTTAGATGTCTTGGTAAATATATGATGGTCGAGTTACAAGACGATAACACTGATAGGAAAGATATACTCTTCTTCTTTTATTATACCACAATCATATGTTTAAGATAACATCTAAAAGAAAAAAAAAAACAATTTATACAACCTTGCAATGCGACTGATAAAAGACAGCTTTAGATTGTCAGAATGTCACTAGTTTTCAAAACATTTTATTAATTGAATTATTAATAAACAAAAAGAAAAAGAGTAAATTCTTAAAAATACGAGTTAAAACACATATTCGACTATAAATTTTCATTTTGATATCATAGGTAACTCGACTTTGATCATTAATAAAACTATTTTTATCCTAATGGTAAATATTTAAAGAATAACAGATTGTATAATTTAAAAAAAAAACCATATAAACTACTCGATCAATTTAAGAATTCATTCATACTCTATCTTTAGATTAACATTTTTTGAACATATTTGTACTATTAAAAACAAAAAAAAAAAAGAATTTGTTATTAATTTTAATTTTACAATCAGTAATACATATAAAAAATGATACACATGCTAATCCATATTTAGTTACGGCGAAAAACTCTGTCCTTATTGACCTTCATAATGGTAAAAATAACGTGACTCACACATCAAAATGTTGTATGCAAAAAAGAAAACGATAGAAAAAAAAAGAAAGAATATTGCGTCGATTCATAAAAGAAAAAGAAACAAACACCAAGGATATATTATTGACTATTCATAAAAAAATCTACGCAAAACTTCGACTGCATTTTCAAAAAAACATTACATATAGTGTTACATACAAAAATTTTTCATTAAAAAAAACCGAAATAATGGCTAGTTCACATAAAGATACAATTGAACAACTTATACAAGCAATCAATGCTCGTCATGTTAATCATTTGGATAAAGCTCTTGAACAAAATGCTGTAAAAATTGTTGGTTCAAAAACTGTTTATACAAATATTCAAGAAGCTCGAGAATATTATACAATGGAACATGAAGCTAATCCATCAGCTGAATGGAAACTTGTTGATTATCAACAAGATAATCATGATAATCATAAAGGACAAGGAACAGTTGCTCATAATAATCATACATATGATACAAAATATACATTTAGTTCATCAGGAAAAATACAAAAAATTGAAGCACATCTTCAACAACAAGACTAAATATACTGATATTTAACAATAAATTATTATACATGGACATTTCATTTATTTTACATACTTAATTGACTTGTTTTTTTTTCTTTTTGAGATAAACAAGGAATGTTTCTTTTTTTTTTCTTCTTAGTGTAAAAACTATTCGATATATAGGTATATTCAATTAAAACTACAAAGCTACTGATTGGTTTTACATAATAAAAACAAGTCCTTTTGGTTTGTAAGTTTATGTATTAACTTAATTTTTGAATAAAAATCAAAATATTTTCGAAAAAACAATATGATTATTATCTATTTCATTTTTCTTAAAAATGACTAAGTATTTTACTTAAAAAAAAAATTGAATATACATCAATATAAATACTACGAGAATTGTTCATTGAAAAATTTAATTTACAAATTATCTGAATATGATAAAATCATAAATACAATCAGCTGTATTTAATTCTTTTTATCTTCATCAAATTTTTGACTAAAATTCAAAATAAATAACGTTTAATTTTATCGATAAAATATTCGTTTTTATACCAAAAAAAAAAAAACACACCACACCACAATAGTAACTAAGGGTAAGAAAAAGAAAACAAAATACAAACATTGATTGGTCGTGAAACCTGAATCCAATCAAATAGTTTGCAAAGACATCTGTAAAATAAAACCTATAGTTTAATAAAACATTAAAAATTATTATCCCATTAAAACCACGTTGTTATTTCTATGTAAACATATGACATCAAGGTTTTAAAATCTTTCATAGTATTCGACATAGTTTCATTGATTAGTATATCTATGTTTAGTAGAGCTATACAGATGTTCATTCAAACATGATTTGTTCGACTGTTTCAATAACTCATTAAGGTATTACTCGAAATCTATGAGTGATTTGTATTTTTGCTAACTTCAATTACGCTTCACTATTGATAAACAATAAAGTCACATATGACAAAAAGAAATGTACATAGAGTAACAAGAATAATCATAATTCGTTATTTTAATATTTTATTCAAATCTAATTCAATGACATTTTTATTAGTGCTACTGTTTACATGTCTATTAATTATATATGATTAGATATAATTCAAGTAACATATTCAACTAAATGATCTTAAACATTTTCTATACTAGTCGATAATAGTATTATAATTGTTGCTTCATTTCCATTTTGTAATGAAATTAAATAAACAAACGTAGAAATAAAAATAATGAACAAAAGTCAATCAAATTAATAGTTATTCTTTAATTCAAGTACTATGGATTTGTATTTGAAGTATAGACTTTTCTTCTTATTTTCTAAACCACAATAAAATCTTATTTCTAAGAAAAAAAAGTATGAATATTTATAATTATACGCACAATATAACAATACATTTCTATTGTTGTTTGATGTATCTTTCTGTTGTGTGAATTCATACATATTATAGAAATCTTCTTTTTTTTTACCATGCACTATGAATATGATAGAAACAAGTGTTGTATTGAGTGTAGCGAAATTTTTGCAACATTTCTTTCTTTACAGATATGCTTGTTCAAGAATCTAATAAAAGATGCATGCTTTATTTCTCATTTCGAATTACAAAATCATATGTTTAAAACTGTTTTCAAACTTTTCATATGTCATTAAAACGAAATAGATCTATTGTCATACTCCATCCCATTAGAAAAAATTGTAAACAGTTTGAATTTTTTTTAAACTAAATATTTTCAATTATAGTTTTGACATACCATATAATGAAAATAATTGGCCATTTGAATCCATAACACTATCCAAAAAAATATTTCAGGGACATCTCTCATAATGGTTGCCAAAAAATATAGACAACAGAAATTGAATATTCGTCGACCTATGAAGTTGACGGATAACAACAATATCGTCTAATCGCGATGACATTCGACATGAAGAACACTCACGTTTTATATTATTGTTTATGGAGGTAATAAATAAGGATGATACACAACATTCACTAGCTCAATGTTGAAGCTAAATATGATAACAACAATGCTAGAGCATCTTTCAGTTGAGTTGTTCTACGAAATATATATTTATTTTCAATTCCATGAAGTATTCAATATTTGCTGCTATCATTAATAATATGTCATCATTTTCTTCAGTTTATTTGGGCCTAAATGGAATGAATATAGCAGTAACTGAATTCTATTATACACATTTATCTAGTCATCTTATGTGTCTCAGATACAGTAGCTATTAATAATGGTTTGTGATTAACATCACATTCATCAATCTTCAATATTTATCTTTAATCGACATAAAACATTCTTCTTTTGAATTGATTCTTAATGCATGCTCACTCAACACTTCCTCTCGTATTGTTTAGCATAAGCTATTCAACTTATTATCGTACTGTTTACATGTTTGAAGGTGCATATTATGAAAAAATCTTTCATTTATTTTCTTTGTTACGTCAATGTCATCTTCGTTTCGGAAACTACATATATAACACCCTAGACAATCAACTAATTCTACCACTTGATAAAACTTTCATGTCGATTAACAAAAAAAAATCATTTGAACTTACAATCAATTGTACTTTGACAATGCTCATTAGATTTTCTGTCACATTTACTTGAATATCTTCCTCAATTACAAGATTTCAGCTTTGAACTTAGTACTTCTTGACTACCCAATGAACATCCAACGATAAAAGACATTACATTGGAAAAAATCTCTATTCGTCATCAAATTGATTCAGAGTGTTTGTGAAGATGTTTTCATCATGATTTTGAATCATTTCTTATAGTTTTACTTATAAACATGTTCCAAATTTTATCCATAACTTTTTCCTCAGGAATATGTATTTTGTTTTTGTGTTAAACATTAATTGACGGATAGGTACTATGAAAAAAATCTTCCAAATAAGTGTGAATAGACATGATTAGATGATGAAAAAAGCTGCTTTAAAAAAATTTCATCGTTTTGTACATTATTGAGAGAAAAGTATTTTAAATATCGAACTACGTAAACATTATAAACTGATAGTGTATGATATGGTGTAGATGAATGATAGAAAAGAGTGTGTTACAGTAAAAAGCGAAATAATACATATCATGTATTTATAATTATTACTAAATGTTTTTCTAATTATTATTCTATTTTAGTTGAATCTCTAGTATTGATAAACGTCTGGGTCCCAATCTACATCGTCTTAAAATAAAGCCGGAAAATAATCTTTGTGATGTGACATCAATTGATCGATTATTTGAGCGCAATGTTTTGGTTTTTGCCGACGAACTTCACATTATTGGAACATGTGACTAGACCCCATGTTATTCACAATTTACTATTGATGCTTTGTGACCAATGTTTATATGTATTGGATGTTACATAGCATGCGATGCATTTAGACTCGCTATCAGACACAAGTGTCATTTTATTAGACACGTTTCGACAATTCAAAGGACGAGGTACCAATCGAACTTGAATTATCTTTATGTAGAAATGGTTATTCTATTACAGTTTTAACGATACTACGAATTGGCAAATCTTTATCTGCTGATAGTTACCTAGACAAAAACGTTGTTCGTGGGTAAGAATAAATTTCTTTTCTTTATTAAAACATACGGTCTTCTAAAATCTAGGCAAAATCGCTGGCCATATATTGTGCCAGCCTTGAACAATCGTTTTGTATCCATCAATAAAATTATCATGGATGGTAATTGCTCTCAAGTCAACGACGAATTTCTATCTTAGTTACCAACTATAGTTTCTTGGCATCAAATTACAATCTTGATTCTAAGAATGATTCGGAAGAGAAAAATCTAATCAATCTTCTCAACGATGCTTCTTTGTGCAATATGCTTATGTCAAAAGGATTACTACATCTCCATATTTGAATGGATTGGCTACATCCAAATATGACAGTCATTGCTTTTTCAATCGTGAAACGATTGTCGCAGCTACAAGTTTTTGAGTTAGACTGTTCTAATACTCAAGTACCTGAAATATTAGATATACTTATGAATGGTCTTCCCAAATTGAATTTTCAAATTTTTCATGATAGTTTGCGGCAAGATGATCAGCAGCGTTTGACGAATGCATGATCTTCGGAAGTACAGTACGCGTGTTTATCGTATGGAATATTATGACCTGTTTGGTACCGAAGAAATAATTTATGTGTGACTTTGATAACATTAAATTGTTTTCATTTTTTTGTGTTGGTACTTATATTTCTCGTTGTAAGAATATATTACACTGCGAGTTCAAAAGTTTAATATTCACTCTGTACAGGGAAAAACTTATGTTATTCAACAGGAGATTTCATGATCTAATAACTGAAATAAATACATATTCATTGACGCATTACAGGACTCTGAATCATTTCAAAGCAAAAGAAGTTCGAATGATAGACGAGGACCATAGAATTAATGTTGTGATAGACAACGTGATGAACGATCGACACTATTACAGAGTGTATGAAGAGGTATGATAAAAAAATCAGATAGATACATAACTATGAATTAAATCTTCGGTGATTTACTTTTAAACTCAGAATGACAAATTGAAGTCAAAAATTTTTTCGTATTTATTTACTATGAATTGCATTAGATCCTGGATTAGAAATAAAATTATAGTCCAACAGAAATGCCTGATAAAAAACATCGCTGCCACCATATAAATCGATGAACTAGTTTGGATCACTTTATGAAATCGAAATTTTACGTGTCAAGTCACCGTGTAACAATACGAAGTTGTTCAATCGTGTCTGTGCCGGCCATAAACGTTCATAGGCTAGTCGTTGATCAACGATGAAACGCGCACAAAGACATTTTAGCAGTAGCGGAGTCTGTTGCGATCGTAAAAGATTTTGAATTTGATTTTGAACAGCTACAGCTAATGGTGTTTGACCATTCTTATTAATGCAATCGACGTGGGCTCCTTCATTAAGTAGCACTTTGATGATTGCTAACGAGTCCCTATTTGCATCTGATTGCGAAGTGCGAGAAATCAAATGTAGAGCGGTGTCACCTAGAATTGTATCTGTGGCATCTAAATCAATCCATCGTTTCCCATAAGCAAGGAGAAGCTTCGTAGCAGCCAGATTTGGAAAGCTATTAAACAAAAATCGAACAAGGGACAGTTTTGTTTCTTTAATTTCATAAATATATTTAACATCACTTACACAATTAGTGGTTTGATGTCTGCCTTCCGATAGTTTACATTAGCGTTTGTTTGTGGATCGACACTCAGATGTAATAAGGTTTGTCCCTCTAGTGTCCTACGTTGTTGGCGACATAGTTGTTGGATCCATTGAATAATAGCACGACGATCTGTATCACTTAATGTTGTTTGCTCGAGAACCTAAAACAAGATTTGAATAGTGACTTATGATTTAAAGGTTATTTCATAGCAAAAAAAAACAATGATCGATATTCACAACAAGTATTTTCTATATGCTGTCTCATGTTTGCACAAGAGTTTACTCATACCTTTGCTGCAATGACTACCAGATACAGTGCATTGTTTAAATTTGCATAGCCGGGTTCCTTTTGCGATGGCTCAAAGACCAGACTGCATGCTTTCAAAAAATGATTGACAGGAAAAGGTGCGTGTGCTGTGAATATTCTGCAAAAAATCCAGACGAAACGATGAAGATTTGTCTCAAGTTTCATTTGTTGATAAAGATAAAATGTATGAAATGCTAGATGTAGTCCACGATCGAATTCCTTCTTTTCGACAAGTAAAATTACTCGATTGAGTAAGGGCTCAAACAATGATTGATTCTTTCGAGGTTTAAGAATGCGTTCTCGAATTAGCAAGGCCTCAATATTTATACGATCATTGTCGTATCTAATCTGGTTAAGTTCATCGACGGATTGACATTCTCTATGAAAATCATAAGCAGCAATAGGCTCAGCAACTTTTTTCGGCACATTATACAGTATACGTTTTTGTATTGATAGTCGCAAAATATCCATCATTTTTTCCGGTTCGTGAGGTACATCATAACTATTGAAGGCCATGTATGAAGAAACAACTAGTTCAAGATCATCGAAACTGGTTTCATCATGATTGTACTCGAGTAAAATATCGATTATATCCAATCGACCACACTCAGCTGCTAGTATCAGGGGAGTTTTCCCGCGACGATTTCTTACACGAGTACAGGCTCCCGCCAAACATAATAACTTCACTGATGCTAGATGTCCTTCTATAACAGCAACAGCAAGTGACGTGTTTCGATAAGAACTCGTTCTATAATCAAGTTTGGCACCTTTTTCTATGAGATAGGCCATGATTTCTATATTGTTATTGATGGCAGTTAGTATGAGACTATTCTGTCTGCTCTGATCATTGGTAACTGTTGTATTGACGTCACTATAACCATTCTCAATCAAAAAGCGAACAATGTCGAATCTTTTTTGGAAGATGGCATCAATCAAAAGTGGATGAACCGGACCGTTTTTGACGTTGGCTTTACCAAGACAAATCAAGCTTTGTGCTACTGTAAAATGAGTTCGATCAAGAGCACACCACAAAGCTGTTACATTGTGTACTAAATTTCCATCAATGCCACGTACACTTCCTCTCAATTCGGTTTGGTCGATATGAGTAGGGCAATGACGAAGTAAGACACGTACTACTGCGTCATATCCATGTAAAGAGGCCAACATTAATAGACTTAAATACTGCCCATTTAATTGATACATCTCAGTGAAAAAAGTAGAAGTATAGGTGATGTCATGTAAATAATTACCCAGTTCGCATGGCTTATTATGTAAAACCAATTCGTACAATTGTTGTCGTGTAATCGAAGAACTTTCATTGACCATAAACGAGTAACTTCTTTTCCGTCCATGCATCGTCATATTTAGAAATGATTGCAGCAATCAAATGCAATCGAGCTTTTTCTTCGGCAGGAAGAAAACTAACGTAATCTCATATGTTTTCAAAGCAATGATTCATAGATTTCTAACTTGAAAGAAAGACAACAGCAACTATCGCCATCTATAAAAAGTCAGGTGTACGTGTAGATATGTGTATGAAGCGAGAGCCTAAGTTTCGATCAATATTCAGATAATGAAAACGTCAATCATCACACACCTAACCCGAGTTCACTCCACATGCAAGCTGTGGTTTTTCCTCTAATAGTTCTGTCTAGATATAATAATTGATAAAAACTGAATACATGACCACAATATGTGGGTCAAGAAAAGTGAGCTCCACATGTAAACTCCAAATTTGGAGCTCACTTACGCATCCATATTTTACCAATTCATACCAGTCCATTCCATATACACGATACCTAACAGTCCCATCTCATCAACTCCAGTCATAGAATATCAGCATATGTAACCGTAAATTAGTTACTTAATTAGTACTCACCTAAATTAGTACTCACGCTAATGAGTGCTCACCTTAATTAGTACTCACCTCCAAGGGTCCTGAAGGCCTACTACAGGGGGCTACTCTTGGGTCCTCAAGGTCTACTATAGAGGATACCCTTGGGTCCTCAAGGACTACTATAGGGGATACCCTTGGGCCCTCAAGGCCTACTATAGCGGGGTACCCTTGGGTCCTCCAGGCCTACTATAGGGGGATACTCTTGGGTTCTCAAGGTCTTCTATAGGGGGCTACCCTTGGGTCCCCAAGGCCTACTATAGGGGTACCCAGAAGTCCTCATGGGCTATCCTAGGGGGTACCCAGAATCCGCCGTGGGCTATCCTATAGGGGTACCATAAGCCCTCTTGGGCTCTCCTAGGGGGTACCAATAAGTCGTCATGGGCTATCCTAGGTGAGTACCCATAAGTGCTCACCGGCTATCCTAGGGGAGTAGCGTGGAGTTCTTGGATCCTGCTATAACATTAATTTCCGAGATAATACCGAAGAAGCAATCAGAAATCTGCATGTTCAACAAGGAACCAATGAGATTGGTAGTTTCTATTTCTCAGTGATAGAAGCGACGGAGGCCCATACATATACCCCTCATTCGATAGAGAATCCTCGATAACCCTGGGATCGGCTCGAACATGACTAGTGGTCGTCCGAACAAAAAGAAAGGAAATGCCTTCGGAAATCTGATTGGTCCATTTTTCGACCAATGGGATTGCGAGGTTCTATTTCTCAGTGATAGAAGCGACCAAAACCCACACATGGGTCTACGAAAAATGGTCGAACGAAAATTGGCCGCCGAAAATTGGCCGCTACGAAAAATGGTCGCTACGAAATATAGTCGCCACAAAAAATAGGCGCTACGAACAATGGTCGAGAAAAGAACAATTTTTTTTAATCATAAGATTCAGTGAGAATAATAAGCAGACAGAAGTTACTTTGAAATGATCTGTAGATTTCTTCAAAGAAGAATTATTAGAAGCTATAATTTCTCTTTAATGTGAAAATGATGAGATGAACAGGCTGTTTCGGGTATATATATAGAGCTCTCGAAAAAGAGTTGGTTGTAGTTTTCTGCCAAAATGTCTACATTTACACTAAGCACAACGCAAAAGAATAAAGCTTTACTACTATTTGAAGGCTTTGGTTACACAGTCGATACAAAAAATAATGATAAAACTTATTGAAAACGTGAGCATGCTCGAACTGGCAAATATAAAGATCGAGTTCATACCAATTGTACTAATACAACAATATTATACAAAACTGATAATCACAATCTTCTGCCTGCTTATTTGTCTCAATGAGTGTCTTTTGTTTAATAAAAATTTTTTTCTCTTACTACAAATTTCTTGACTATTTTTCGTAGCGACTATATTTCGTAGAGACCATTTTTCGTGGCGACCATATTTCGTAGCGACCAATTTTCGGCGGCCAAATTTCGTTCGACCACTTTTCGTTCGACCATTTTTCGCTTTCCCCTTTTTTTGATAAAAGCTTACATGATTTTGTCTTCGGAGTTGCTTTTCTGTTAAGAACTTATTTTAATATGTTCGATAAATAACTATCACATGCTGAACATCTATGAAATCAATACGCATGCCATGCCGCAGCAACTATTTGAAACTCTTCTCAGAGAGCCTAACGTCAAGTTGCGCATTGAATTAAATATATTACTTCTGCCTAGTGAAGAGTATTCTCAAGAAGCTCAATATTATTTCAGTAGTACCTATAATCTAGAATTTATCGATTCAAGGAAAATGTAAAAATTAAATATTTGCTAAATTACTATTCGTTTCATGTTTTCTAAGTTCGATATCAACTCTACGTCTTTGCTAATATTCAACACAGGTTATTTTTGTTTTGTTAATCTATATCTAAATATTGCATAAATAAAATTTTAGTTTTAATCAAATTAAAATAAATTTCTATTTCTTTATATTTTGAAAATTTTCAATAATATCTCGTTTACATGCATTAATAAACTTTTCTTTCAAATTTTTTTCTATTCGAAATGATATTTTAGCTCCATCTCGATCTCTTGGTAACCATTTGTTTTCATCTTTTTCAGGATTTAGACGAAATACACGTAAATATAATACACCTGTCCACTGTGTATAAAATCGACATTTATCTGTATAACCAAAATCAACTAAATCTGCCCAATCATATCTATAATTTGAATTAATAGCAAATTCATTTGGAATAAGTCGAGGATTTGGTGATTTATTATTTTTGGCATTCTTTCTCATTAATCCATCAACAGTAGCTACTGCTGGTTCAAGAACTTTGGGATCACGTAATTTAATAATCGATCGACGTATTGTCGTTGCAATATTTGATAATGAATATGGATCTTCGAAATCATCGGATAACATCATAAATAAAGAATTGGAAACTTGACCTTGTGGAGCAATAGAATCTGAAACACCATGAATATTAACAATTGTAATTGCATGTAAAATACGACGTTCATCATTATTATTATAACAATATGTATTAAGTGTTAATATAATATAGGCTGTAAGTGCATCTTGTATTGTTATACTATTTTCACCAGCTAATGTTTGTAATGTAGCAAGTTGTTGACCAGAAAAATGTAAATATACTGGATCATAATTTTGTTGATGATCAACAAATATTTTTGAAACTTCTTCTAGAGGTTGAGCATCTAAAAATTGCTTTGCTATAGGTAAAACTGATTGATCACTTTCATCTTCTCGCCATAAACGTCGTTCAAATATTGGTAATGGTTGTATAGGTTCCATTTGTTGATAAAAACGTGATAATGTACTAGAAAAATGTAAACATGCAGCAGCATCACCTAACGGATGATACCAACTAATACCTAATGCCCATTCATTACTTTGTACAATATGAGTTAATTTTAAACGAACAAGTGGTTCATTAGATGAATTTTTAAAGAATTCTGTTAAATGAACTTCATCAATAAATGTTGGAAATAATTTGTTATCTACTTCTACAATAACATTTGAATCTAGAGGCCATTCTTTCAAATCGTTATTAACGACTAATGTTACTGGAATAGGATTGTCACACATTTCAATAATATAATGTTGATCATTTTCTAATATAGTACGACCAGCAACTAATGGCCATAAAGAAAGAGTTCGACTAAGTGCTTCTTTAAGTTGATCAATTTTTATTTCAGCTGGATAAACAAATATATTATTTATATGTGCCAATATCCATAGATCCATACCAGCAAGTTCAATACGACGATTATTTCCTGTTGGTATTGAAGGTGATATCAGAAAAGATGACGTCATATTTTCACCTAGAAGTTTGATTCGAGGTAATTTTCTTCACAAAGAAAACTTTTTCTGTTTATATAAGCGAAAGAAACAAGGAGCTGTGTAATTACCTAAGACAATGATTATATTGACTCAATTTATGGATACTTTCGAAATAACATGTTGTTCTTCTTATTGCAGTGATGAAGAAAAAGATAACATGCTTTTTTTTTTTGAGGTTTTATTTTTACATCAAATATTATAGTTTTAATTGTTTGCACTGAAGATAACTGGTATATAAGACTCAAATGAAATAAATATCTTACAGAGGGCGTAGTCTATTGATGTTAGAAAGCATAGATTTGCTGACTTATTAACACAGAAAAGCATTGACAATAGGATCTTTCATTGAAATGTCCCAATAAATCGAATGATTGCAATTATTAAACTAGTGTTTCTTGATGAATTTTTTATATCATTGTGTCAATGAAATAATCCATCGTGAAGGGTGTGGGTGCCTTCTTACGATTAATGTCCACATCCACACCCACATTCGTATATTCTGTCAAGATCATTCAACTTGCGAATGAAGGAAAAATAATCAATATAATTGACTAAACATTCTTGAGCATTGTGTATCAAATTTATAGTACTCAGAAATATAAACTCTATGCAAATAAAAATGAGTTTTTCACGATACAAGATCTGCATCTATAAATCATAGGATTATATTTCGAATCACAATCAGTGACAGTATTATTGTCGACATCTATTTTTGTAATAACTCAAAAACAATTCGATTAAATTATAATTTAATGCTAAAATGCTTTTAAATTGATTGATTCAAATAAGTCTATTTACTTCTCTCTTATCGATAATGAAAATTTACTAAAAGCAATTATTTATTCTATGCATTAGTTTTGCTGTATTGATGAATAAAATAATGCAAATTAATTTAATCATGTTAATAGTTTACATCAGAAAACATAAGAAAAATAATTTATTTATGTAAACTTCATTAAATCTAGTCAATGAATAAACATGTGTTTCACAAAACGTAGAGTGCAATAAGGAAAAAAAACAATATCTGAATCGGACTTAATAGCAGTTGCAATAGATAATGGCTTGATTGTAAAACATACGAATTTTTTAAGCAAAAAATTTCGAGCAACAATGTATTTTTATTATAATAGATTGAGAATCTTGTCTTCACTTGCGTTCAAAAATATCATTCAAAACAAAACTATTGTACAAATATAGGAAAATAGACAAACATTCTCTAAGTTTTCAAGTGTTTAAGAAAACAGAGTTTGGTAGTCCATATGGAAAACTTTCTAGCACGATATCTATCTGTTACTTTGAAATTTATACTGAACTTGAACTAACGATTTGGTATGCTATTCCATCTTAATCAGTAGTAGTACGAAAAAATGTACAACATAGGAAATATATTGATTTTTGATATCATTAAACTGTCTTTTAATACATATTAATTGATGTTTGCACGACTATGATATATTCTGCTTATGAAAATTCAACATATTATTTTGATTTAGTGTAAAAGAAAAGAAAAAGAAAACCTTTAACAAACAAAGAAAAGAAAAGAAGAAAAAAAAGATTCTCCACTTGAACACTAAAATTATACAGAAATAGCAATAAAGCTTATTATGACAAATAATAACTAACAGATCATCCAATATAGCATACACACACAAAAGTATGTTAGAGAAAAGACCAAAAAAAAAAAAAACGAATTGTACACATAAAGATTATTATATTTGCATATTAGATTTTGATACTAAAAAAAAAAAGAAAACAAACAAACAAACAAACGATGCACAAAAGGAAAAAATAATTAGCCAATGTAGAACTCGAATTTGGCTCGGATTAGGAAAGAGAGAATGCATGTTGTTTTATATAGAAGAAGAAGAAGAACACCGAGTTAAACATACACAGAGTCATTCTCTGTGAATATAATTGAAGATATTTTGTTGGCAAGAATATTTCTTTCGTTTCGTTTATGTATATCACAGTAGAGAAAGAGAAAACAAAATGAATTGCACATATGATCGTTTTGAATTTTTATCACACGGATGTTTCAAGAGGTTCTTCCTCTTTCTCTATTTTTCTCGGTCCCTAAAACAAACCAAACCTTTAATTTCAATATAAATATATATTAATTTATTTACATCATAAATTAAACGTGGATCTTTATATGTTCCACTTTCAAATAAACGTTTACCAATATCTTGTCCTGTTTTATTCATTGTTATTTGTGTTTGAATTAAAGGAGTAGATTTTTCTTGTTTAAAAGGATACATTTGTGGTAATGTTGATACTCCTTTCTTTGGAAGACCTAATACAGTATTTAACATATCATCAAAAATAGCTGAATTTTCTAAATAAAATAAAAATCAATACATTTAAAAAAATAAAAATAAAAAGTTTTCCTTACCTTGATTAGTATTTGATTGACTTAATCGTCGAGATGGTATTGGTTGATATCCATTTGTTGAATTTCCCATACTATTCGATGAACGAAGATTTTGTCGACCTAATTGTCGTAATGTTGATGTTTCTTTATTAGAATCATTTGTTCGACTTTTTATTGATATATTATCAGATTGTTGTTGTTGTTGTTGTAGATTTGTTATATCATTATTTAATGAATTTTTATTATTATTTAAATCACGTAAACGTGATTCAAGATATCTCATAAAAACATGTAAATCTTCTCGAGTTTTTGATGCATCAAATTGTGCAACACGTGAACGTATATCATCAAGTGCTGCATGTATACGAGAATCATTTGATGATTCAAGACGTATAAGTAATGATTGAATATCACGATTACTATGTGTTAATATATAACCATGAAGAAGATCATCAGCATCAACATGATGTGTATTATAAGATATTTCTGAATTTTCATTTACTTGTCCTGTATACCATTTCATCGACTAAAATTAGAGAAAAGAAAATTTTATATTTCTACATATAGATTGTTTGTTTTTTTAAACTGAGTAATATCGTATTAAGAAATAAGGAACAAAACTATATGATGAAGGAGGAGAGATAGAGTGTGCATTGAAGAGTATTTCGGAACGACTTAGAAACCGATGATATTCATATTTAAGCTTAAGAACGTTTGTGATAGCTGTGTTGATAGAGTTTCGATAGATCAGTACTTTGAAAAAAATTCTGGATTAAATAAACGTGCCATTTTGAATAGATTTAATTATGGTTTCTTTCTATGGTAACTTGTTGTTTTTATTTAAAATTAAATATCTTAAGAAATATACATTCATTTTCTTTGAAACTTTCAAAAATGTTGTAATGACTATTATTTATTATCTCTGGGATATATATCCCGAATCAATTCTTCATTTTGATAGTGTTAAATACATTTTCTTCCAATTCAAAAAAAAAATTCAGTAAAACAGCTATAAAATAATCGCCCGGAATTATTTTAAACTCGGTATGGTTCATTATCCTTGTCTCTAGAGGTGTAAGCCAAGGGGTCAAACAGCGGCAGCTGTTTTAATGGTCTAATTTTTTTTCCATGGCGACGGCGCCTACTAAACTCCATGTTTTTCTGCACCGGCGGCGACTTTGATAACCAAAAAAAGACGTTTTCGCTCCTAAAATGATCGATCGCACATGTATCGATATCAATGGCGACGGCGGCGCATCATACTATTATCAAAAATTTTCGCTCGTGGCGGCGGCGCAACGGCTAAACTAACTTTTTCACAGCGGCGGTGGCGGCGGCACAGCTGGATGGCTTACATCTCTACTTGTCTAACTATATTTTCGGATGATCACAATTCAATTGGTTGATATGATGAATCTCAGGAAATATCTTATAACTAGAAATGTTAACTTTATAAGAAGCTTTAAAATATCATTATTGAAAATTATCTAATTATTGATCATCTTACCAACATTCGTGTATTATCATCTGAATTTTGTAATGCTGATGATGATGTACGTGTTACAACTGATGTTAAATTTAATGGTATATGTGTTTGTTTAATTTGATTTTGACTAACTTGATTAAGATTATTTTCAACAGATTTTGATGGTTGAGTTTTTGTTGTTGAATTATTATTATTATTATTATTATCTTTTTTTGGATATTGATCTATACTATTATATTCTGAAACATTATGAAAACTTTTTGATAAACGTGCTTGTCTTTTAAATGATTGTTCATCTGTATTATGAATTTGTTGTCTTTTTTTAACATTATCATTATTATCTATAATATTATCATCAGATGGTGATGGTGAATATGTTGTTGAAACAAATTGACGTAAATCTTTTGTTGATGATGATAAATTTTTTGAATTTATTTGTGTATCATGTAAAGAATTACGACTTAAAGAATTTTGTATTTGTTTAACTAATGCATTTGTATCAGCTATAATTGAACGATGTTTATCATTTTTTGAATTTGTTGATGCTGAACGTGATGGTAATGTTGAAAATGGAGTTTTTGGTATTATAGTACGTTTATGTTCATGTTCATTTAATATTTTTGGTTGTGTTATTGATGTTGTTGTTGTTGTTGTTGTTGTTATAGATAATATATCATCATTATTTAATTTACCAACAAAATGTCTTGCTGATGGATGACGATGTGTTATAGATGATTCAATATTATTATCAGTACGATTTAATATATCATTAACAGAATTAATATCTATTTTTTTACGTAATAAAAATTTATCTAATTCATAAATTTTATTTATTGTTGATGATGATTGTTGTTGTTGTTGTTGTTGTTGTTGATTATTATTAAGTAAATGAATAGGTTTTAATGTACGTGCTGGAATAGGTGGTGGTGGTGGTGGTGGTTGTGATATTTGAATAATATTTGTATTAATAGGTTTTGAATAATGATGAGATGATGATGATGATGTTGATTCAGATTCTGATGAACATGAATTTGTTAAATGTTCAACTATTTCAATATCATCATAGAATATAATCATATCATCAGCATTTTTATCTATTTGACCATGATTATCATTAGTTATATCATCTTGTTCAATAACCATTTCAGTTATAATTTCAATTGGTGGAACTGTTGTACGTGTTGTTTGATGAGTTAGATTTGATGGAATTTCATTTGTTAGCATAGATGCTTTTTGCTAAAAAATATAGTGTAATATTTTAATTATGTGTGAGTAGTTTTTATAACTTACACAAATGTTCATTTTCTTAAGATGGCAAAAAAAAAAAATGAAACATTTACTTTTCAATATTATATATGTAGGAGTATTAGAATGTCAAGACATTTGTCCTAATGACATCGAAAAAAGGTTACGGACGACAATGAATATAATTGATATTTCTTTTTTTTTCATTTTGTCAATGAAAAGATTTAAATAAAAAAAAATACTTGTAATAAATTCTGACAAGAAAAAGATTAAGAAACGTCTTAGTTAAATTAAATTCTGTCACAATAGATTTTCTTATATTGATTTTTAAAATATAAATAGTCAAAACATTTATTTCCTTTCAATTTCCTATAAAATTAAATATTCTCTATAGATTATAATTTTTTTTTTTTTGTAGAAATTTCCAAAATAAAACTTATTCTAATCAAATAGATAATTACAAAAAAATAGTTATTGATGAATCTTTTATCTATAAGTGAAATTCTTGTTTAATATCAAGAGACCCAAAAAAAAAACTAACTAACTGTAATTACTGATGTGAAAAATATCTTTTGACATTCACAAGGGAAATTTTGTTTTTTTCTGCTAATGATGATTTCAAAAAAAAATTCATTCAATAAACATACTCGTTCTATTATTTGTGTATCTTGTAAGAGATTTTTTGTTTTTAATTTAATATCTGATGAAAGTATTGGTGAACTTTCATTACTTGTATGTGTACTATGATTATTATTTATTTGACGTTTATATTTATCATCATGATAATCAACATCTTCAATATCATTTAATGTATCATCAATTTCTTCTGAACTTGTACGTTCATATTCTGTTGATTTTAATTTTAATATTTTATTTTTATTTTTTTGTTGATTTATAATTGATGAATGTGTATTACTAATAATAATATCATCAAGATTTGTTATTTGTTCATTTATTATTTGATTTTGATTAATATTTGATAAAATTTTATCATTATAAAAACGTTGAATTGCTTCAATAGCTGGATATTGTACTGAATTTTGTTTTTTTATTTCATTATTATTATCAATAACTTCTTCATAATATGTACTTGATTCACTTGTTGATTCATCATCATGAAATTGAAAAACACGTTCAATAGCATCACGAATAAATTGTAAATCAGCATTTTTTGTATGAATTTGTTTAATATTTTTTGTTACTGAATCAATATCTTGATAAATATGTTGTGAATAATCTTTTTCATTAGATTTTCTACGTGTAAAAATTATTGGTGATGATGGATGTATTTGTTCTCGATTTATTTTTGAATGAATACGTGTTGATTCTTGTTCATATAGAGTTGAATGAATTATTGATGAAGGACTTTTATAAGTTGCATTTTGATGAGTTAATATTGGTCTTTGTTTATATATAGTAGAATTTATAGGTGATATAGGATTTTCTTGTATAAATGATGATTCTTGTTTGATTATATTAGATTGAGAAGGAGATGATGATGATTTTGAAATTTCATTAATTGATTTTGGATGAATTATTGGAATTTCATATTGTGAAAATGTTACAGAAGTTGTACGTATTGATGATGGTGAAGGAATTGATTGAGGAGGTATAATTGTTGTTGATTCAGTTTCAGATATCTAAATATTTTATTTATTTTTTTTTCTTATCTAATTATATATATCAGAATTATTTCAAGAATTTTCTTTTTTTGTTATTATCTATCTATTTGTAATCAGATATTTTTGTAATTTCTTATATTGACAAAAGAAAAACTTACTGGAATAATTTTTTCAGATGATTTTAATATTATTTTTGGTGATTGATTTATATTAAGATGATTTTTATCGTCTATATTTAATGATGATGTATAAGAATCTATTGTTTGTTTATAATCATTTGTTGTTAATGATGATGAATATGTATTAGATTCAAAAAATGGATTAACACGTCGTAATGCATTTAATGATATATTATCATAGGATGTTGGACTAGGATGTTGTTGAATATGATAATGTGATTCACTACTTGTTGTTGATGTACGACTTAATGGACTAACAGGAGCACTACCAAGATAATAATTTGGATTTAATGTAACTGTTGTTGTTTTATTATCATAATATGAACCAACTGAATATTGACGATGACGAATTTTTGGTGTATATACTAATGGACTTGTTAAATCAGTTGTTTGTATATTAGATGAATCCCATTTTTGAAAAATATTATTTGTATTTATATGAAGTGATGTTGATGTTGGTTCATTTATTGTTGTTGTTGTATATAATGGTGGTAATATATATATAGGTAAAACATTATTATTATCATTAATTGTTGTTGATATTTGTTTTTCATTTTCATTAATTGATATTTGAGGAATATTATTTATAATAGGATTATCAGTTGATGTTAAATAATCCATATTAACATCAAATTTAATTGATGGCTAAAATAAATATTATATATATATGAAATAAAAATGAAATATATAGAAAAATTTACTTTATCATTAGTTGCTATAATTGATGATGTATTTTGACTATGATCTGAAAAACTATTTTCATGTTCAACTTCATATAAAATATCTTCTTGTATAGGACGACGATAATTTGTATGAATAAAATTATTTTCATTATTATCAATAATAATATCATCTAAATTTGTTATCATTATTGATGAATTATTATTATTATTAGTAATATTATTATTATCAAAATCAAATGGATTATTTGATAATGAATAATGAAAATTATTATTATTATGAATATTTGATGTTTTATCATCAAATGTAAATATACGATTTGATGTTGTTGATAAAATATTTTCAATATGTTCATGTTGTTTAGTATTTAATATATTTATTGATTCATTATCTGTTGTATTATGTGGTGAAAATAAGAAAAATTCATCACCAACAGCATTTATATCAACTTCACGTAAAATTTCATCATTTGATATTTCACGTATATTTGTTGAATCATTTTTATTTGATACATTTTCATGAATACATGTTTCTATAGAACCATCATACCAATTTTGATTTTCACTTGGACGTGAATCAATTGTTATTAAACTATCAGTATTTGATGATGTTGATGTAAATGATGGTAATGATGATGTATTTTCCATTTCAACATCAACTATTGGAATGTTAATAGATTTTTGTTCTGCTATTGATAGGGCAACAATATCGAGATCTATTGAAATAGAATGACGAAGAAATAAATGATGATAAGAAAATGAAGAAAAAATCTATGCGTATGCATGCATGCGTCGTTTTTCTTCTTTTTTTTTCTATTTCTTCCTCATAGTGAGAGTGGATATTCATTCTCTCATAATAACAACAATTCTTGTCTATGAAGTAGTAGTAAAAAGATAGAAAGAAATGACATGTGTATGTGTATACGATTATATTTGTATGTATATAAATGTATGTATTAAGTTTTTAATCACCGGAAAATGAGTTACATGAAGTAATTGTAGGAGGCAGTTCTTTCATGATGAATATCTCAAGAGAATAGAAAAACTAGTATGCACTTTTATCTTTCAATCATTAATGATAAAGAAAAACTCAATGGACAGTTAATATGTCTTAGATTCCTAGTATGTCAATCATAACATGACAAAAAAAAACAGTTCTTCTAACGTATAATTACCTTGATATTAAGCTTGTTTATGTATGAACTCATCTAGTAAAAATACCAAAAATATTTTTTTTTTGCTTTTGTCTTGTTACATTTACATTTTCTCAATGGTAAATATAACTCGTCTATTTACATTTAAAATCATCCACTTGAAAAATTTTTGACTAACCTCTTTTACATTTTTCGAATGTTTTGATTATATATGTATATACAAAGTGTTTTTTTTTACTTAAATTCAATCAAAAGAAAATGTCTACACATTATTTCTACTTTTTTTATTATTCTAACGAATAAAAACAAAAACGAAAAGAAATTTTTTTCAATTATAATTACCTTCAGCACTTGGTTCTAAGGTTTCAGCATGACTTAAATCTGAAAGTGAACTATGTGTTGATAATGTTGCATTATCATCTAATTTTGGTGTTGGTGTTTCATATCCACCTATTGATGATGATGATGATGATGATGTTGTATCACCTGCTCTTGCTGTATGATATGAAGCTGTTGATAATGGTGATAAACATCGATCATTGACACTTGCATATGATGAAGAATCTGATACTAAAAGATTTTTATCTATTGAATGTAAATTAGCTGAACGATATGATTCAGTTTCTGATGTAAGACTTTTTGATGAATTTGTACGAGGAATATTTGTTGTTGTTATTTCACTATTACTTATAATAGGTTGAGAAACAATAGGTTGTTCTATTATTTCTTGTATTAATGCTACAAAAAGCAAAAATAAAACTTTTAAATTAAAAGATTTTTTTTCCTTCTTACAATTTTGTACAATTGTCATATCACCTTCTGATGATGCATCAAGAAAAGATTCTTCATATGGTATTTGTGCTTGAGCCATAGTACGTGGTTTTATAGGATGATGAACATTATCAATATTTGTTAATAAAGATGAAGAATTTGTTGTACGTCCAGGATCTTAAAATAGCATAATCAAAACAAAAATAAAAAGGAAATTACATTAATCGATATAGATAACACATGAAAAAAGAAGGCGGTCATTCAAATAGTATTACTATCATTGCCTATTGAGAATGCTTGAGGCACGTATGCACGGTTGTAATCAAAAAAAAGAAACTTCAAATGCAAATTCTCGTGTGTACAAATGCACATATATGCAATCAATTTCTTTCTCTTCTTCTTCTTTTTTTTTTACTCTCTCACTTTTGGGCCAAAAGGGAGATATGAATCGATTGATGATGCATACATATATTGATTTGAAAGTCATTAAAGATAACATGTACAAATAAAATAATCGTATTCTTATACATAAAGAAAGAAACGTCATAAAACTAAGTACAAAAAAAAAAAAACAAACGAAAATAAACGGAAGAAGAACAAGAAAAAAATGTGATTCAGTTATGAATACAAAGTCAAGGTTAATTTTTTTTCTCTTTTAACTTGATCACATAAAGATGAGAATGAAAAACGAGAATGTCGACAGGTGGATGAATGGATATATATATGTGTGATTCGTTGTTAAATCAAAAAAAAAAAAAAGAAAAACGAAGGAATATAAAAAAAAAAAAAAGAAAGAAAATAGTGATTCGACAAACAAATCATCAGAATCCCATCTACTTCTTTTTTTTTTTGTTCATTTTCTCTAGCACTTGTCCATCCTATATTACATATGTCTTCTTTAATAAAAACCTAGAAATAGTAATTTGATGATTTTTTTAATAGAGTGAAAGAAAAAGAACAACTTTTTTTCTTTTTTTTACTCGTCCTGCTGTCTTTCTTCTTCTTTTTTTCTAGAGTATAAGTTACTCGAAAAAATATATATACAGACATCTACACCACACGTTCGTCTCTGTTGACATTTTTTCTTTTTTGTCATTGACACTATGCTGTTCTGTTGTTTGTGAGCATACATATTTTCTTTAAAAAAATATATGTATATCAAAAACTCGTCGTACGTTATGGCATAATATGAAGGGTATCGTTCTGTTACTATTCGAGGTAACGAAAAATGGCCGACAAGACGACTACTGTAGTTATATAGTTATGATTTGAATAGCATCCGAAGCCAATAGCGTCAATAGTGAATATATTACAGATCTTTTCTTGCTACTACCTATTTTTTTTTTCGTATAACAATAATAAAAAAAACGCATATATTTCTGTTAATAAGAATCAAATTAACATACGATATATTTTGTTTTTTTTTCTTTTTTGGTCTTGTCTACTTTTAACAAGTCAAAATAATAATTATATATTCATTTTTTCTTTTTTTCATAATTAATCATACCAATGAAGATATTCATTTCTAAAAATGAACTCATTAACAATATATTCGCTCATAATTATTAATATTATATTTGTTCTTATAACATGCATCAGCAAACACATCTATAATACACACACGTTGACGTGTGTATGAAAGAAAGAAAAAAACCAATCAATTATCGCCCCAATAGACATGATATATAATATAATAAATTTAGAATTTATCAAGCACAAAAAAACAGAATAAGAGATTGATGAGTAACTATTTATATATATATATATGACTGATAAATATTACTATACTATCATAAATATATACGTATAAATGACATGTCTTACATATGTCAATCATGTATATTCCTTTTTTGTTTCTTTTCTTGATCTACTATAAACAGATAAGACACAACTGTCTAACAAATGTATCTACAATCTGATATACTCAGAAAACTAGTAGTAGATTTACATTGATATTAACGATAAATTTTAAAATTTTGTATACTGTAAGAAATCAGAAGGCTAACAAGAATGTTATATCAATGTAAACTATATCTAATCTACATGATTACATAATTGCGATAAACGATCGTGGTAACAAAAAAAAAATGAAAGTTGACATAATCAACATGATTCTTACATTAAGATATAACTTATCAATAATTAAATCATATTTACCAATTTTTGAATATCTTGGTAAAGGTTTAGGTGGTTCAATAATATGTCCATTTGTGTTACTATTAATATTTTTTGTTGTAATAAATGTTCGTGGTTTATACCATGTTGATGATTGTGCAACACGTTGTAAACCTGGTGCATATGATGATGAACTACTCGATGTTGTAAAACGTCGTCCATATGTTATACTTGTATTTGTATCATAACTTGATGTTGTTGAATCACGTCTTAATGGTGGTTTTTCTGACCATGAACGACTTGGTGATCGATGATTATATGATTGTCTATATGTACCATTAGATAAATAAGGTGAATTAATTGATGAAGATGTTGATATATCAGGTGTATCATCATTAATATAAGTATTATTATTATTATTATTGTTATTATGATGATTTGATCGTTTAATACGTGGTACATGTCCATGAGATTTTGTTTTTCGTAAACCATTTGGTGATGTATATTCATGATTATACCAATCAGGTATAATTAATTTATTAAATGATGCACGTAAACGTTCTTCATATGATGATATTTGTTGAGTTTTTTTCATTTTATATATTTGTTCAATAGAATTAAAAACATTTTGTAAATAAAGTTTTTCTTCAAAACGAATCATAATACAAAGAAAAAAATAGATATATATATATATATATAAAGAATAATGTTTTGTATTCACATATATATTGAATACAATAAATAATTAATGAATGATGAAAAATAAAATCACCTTTTGTAAATGTTATTAATGTTCACAATGATATGAATAAACAAATAAATATGCGTAAAGTAACAGTATTCATATTATTGTATCGTTTGAAAGTATATTGAAGCGGAAGTTTTTCTCTCTCTCTCGTTTTTCCTTTTTCTTTCGTATATATGAACGTGAGTACGTTTATACACAACGGACAGAAGGTCGATGTGTTCAATTATAGAACAATACAACGAAGAGAGAAAATGAGGGAAAGAAAAAGACAAATGCCGATAGAGTAAAGAGATGTGGGTCGTGTTCACTGACCAGTCTCGTCAGTTTATTCTCACACAATCGTCTGCTCGTCTCGTTAGAATATATATATGTGTATATATATATTGTTGAATGCATGAGAAGAAGAATAAGAAGAAGAAGACAAACTCATTCGTGCTCATGTTTGAAACGCAGATATATATATAATCTAGTCAAACGACGAGCGCGAGAAATAGTGTAACCCAAAATTAGGGTGAGACAAGAGAGAGAGAGGGAGAGGGAGAAAAGAAATCGATCGCTTCGTGTTCAGTGACGTCGGAGACAACACTCGTCGGTTACGAACACAGAGAAAAAAGAATAATATTTAGAATATAATCAAGTATAATTACTAAAAAAAAGAAAAACAATACTATACCTGTCTCGTTTTCTAAAACCATCATCAAACCGACAACATTACTAGTATAATCGATGGGAAGACAGAGAGAGAGAGACAGAGAAAGCAAAAAAATGAATGAATACAATTTATCATTCAAATGTAAATTACCTTAGCCTTGTATTGTGTTATAATAGACCATCTATGAGAATGAAATATTCTTCCATGCAAATGATTCTCTTATCATAAGTGCATCAGAAGATATCGATGATTTTATTTGACATTATACTTTGCTTTTCAATAGAATCAATGAATAAAAAAAATACTTTACATTTTCTTTTGTTTTTTTTTTTCTTTTTTTTATTTCTATTTATTCATTTTCATTCATTTCAATGATGTCTGTGTGTAATCGTTGACTATTCGAACAATCCGTAATCATTACAACTGGTAATATAGTATTTGTTAATTTTGTATTATATTGTAATGAACGTTCATCAATAATACTTATTGTAGCAGAACAATTTTCTTGTTCTTTAAGACGTATATATCGTTTACTATCATGTATCTTTTGTTTATTTGTACAATTGATTGAAAAACAATTATCTATTATTTGTCTATTTGTTAAATTTGATATTTCATCATAAGAAATATCCTTGATATTTTTTTTTCTTATAATAATTTGTTCATGATTATCAATTAAATTAATCTGTAATGGATTATAAGTTTTTAAATAATATTTTAATAGATGTGATTTTGATTGTTGAAATTGAAAAGAATTATCAATTATATTTGAATAAGGATTTATAGTTAAATTTATTTTTTCATTATTTGAAAATAAATTATTAGAATAATTAAATGTTTGTATTGGTTTTATAGATCCATATTGATTTGATGATATAAAAAATATTTGATTACAAACTTTATCATTTGATATAAATGATAAATTATGATGAAAATATTTTATATTTTTTATAAATCGAATAATAAGACGATTTATTAAATAAATTATTATGAATAATATCCAGAAGATAATAACCTATAAAAAAAGATTAATGTATTAAAAAAAAAAAAAAACAAAACAAATAACTTTAATCAAAAGAAATATTTCAGATTTGTTTGTCCTTCGAGACAAGAGAAAAAAAGAATTAATGCCTCAGGGTAACGTTTTTCTTTTTATACATGTCTATCTGTAATTTTTCCGGTGTTAAACAAAGATGAATGTTAAAGTAGATTTTTTTTTAATGTTGAAATATAATTAAATAAGTACTATTAATGATAAGGAAATGAAAGGTGATAAAAACATTTGACACAATTTTTTTTTTTTTTTTTATGTTTCTCAATGACCCATAAAAAATTGGTTAACAGACTTGAATGAGAATATTGCATGACAAATGCTTATTCGATTTAGGTTTGACGTAGCAATGGACATTAACAAGATCTATTATTAGTGAATGTAGTTTTCATTTTGTTGAGATAATATTGTTTTTTTTTTTTGTGTGTGTGTTTTATTTTACTTACAATTGAAAAAATAAAAATAATTCGTTGAATTGTAGTAAATGATGATATATGCTTAGTAATAACATCAATGTTAATCATTTTTTCATGACTAGAATTTGACCAAGTTTTATTGAATATGAATGACAACATGCGACTGTTTTTTTTTTGTTTTTCTATATTAATAATATCTGAAAATATGTGTGTGTGTGTGTGTGTGCATCAATAAGAATATGAGAGAAAAAAAAAAAAAAAGAAAAAGATAATTTAGGAAAAAAAAAAAAGATTAATACCATTTATTTTCTTCTTTCATAACATGAAAGAACTTTATTATTAAGAATTGATTTCTAACATAAGATGAACGTTCATCTAGCAGAAATAAATTGACATGCAATCAAAATATGTTGTTGGTTTTCTTTTTGCTTTTTGATTCATTATTATTAAATTTAAGTTATTGTTTATAATTCTAATCAAGACAAAAATGAAATTATTTCTACATACCTAATTTTATTTGTTATTATCATGACAAACTATTTGTCTAATATAAGAGAGAATTTACTTTATATGTAAATGTGGTTGTGATTAGTACTCGTTTGAATCGGAAACAACATCGTTCGTCAATTATTCGTATGGTGATGTCTAATGTTAACACTAGTTTTTGTGTAGACGTTCATCACTCATGTAAATCTTTTTTTTTTCTCTTCTACTAATCTTATTTAGGATTTTGAAGAGATCATTGATTATGGTAAAAAAAAAAAAACAAAAAACGAAAAAACAATTTTTTTTTTTTTTCTTATATGTTCTGATAATCATTATGAAATGTTCGATTTCGTATATATGATCGAGGATTTAAACATAGAAATTGATTGGATTTTGTTGATTGATGATTATATTTTAAAAAAATTATACTACCAATAATATATCCGAAAAGAAAAATAATTATTATAATAATAAGTATAATTATAGGACTCAATGATTGAATTGAATAAGAACATACGCCTGGACAACAACATTGAGATTGTATATAAATACTATATGTTGTTGAATCATCTTGATAACCAATTGTTGTATCTTCACCATCAACACGACATATTAAAAATACAGTTAAATGTATATTTGAATATTGATATGAAAGTATTGATGAACCATAATTATATTTAAATTGAACAGAATCTTGTTTAGCAATAATTATTGATATATTTGATATTGAATCAGCTATGATAAGACAAAAAAACAAAAACAATAATATAAGATAAAGATAATATTATAATTTACTATAACATGCTGCAGCATTTGTACAATTACCATTATCAGATTTCGAATATGAAAAACATCCATTCCAACTAAAAGTTTTTCTTGTTGGATTTATATTAGATATTTGATCATATTTTGGTATTTTTCCATTTGTATAACCTAATGTTCGAATATCTAATTTTAATCCATTTTCAATATTATAAACACAATTCGAATAACAAATAATTATTTGAATAAAAATAATTAATAAAAAAGAAAACATTTTGATTATAATACTGAAAAATAAACGATATATAATAACAATGATGACTATATTAAATTAAGAATAAAAAAAAATCAAATTCATCTATTTTATTTCATTTTTTTTTTTAGAATTTTTGACATATATATATACATATTAATCTTGCTAGATTTTTATTCTTTAATTTCATATTTTGATCAAAAATAGAGCATGTTAAACTCTTTGCTCTCATAGAACTTGATTGCTGTTAATGAGGATGTGTTAGAAGGTTAATATAATTTTTTATTTTCTTCACACGAGAATATCTCAATAGAGAAAACAAATTTCATGACATTAGACCCTTCATTCAACAACTCAATGTTATTTCTATCATTAATCAGAGTTTCATGTCAAATGATTATAATTTTTCTGATTTGACGCAAAATAACCTTTGGGTAATCATCACATGAAAGTTAATGAAATTTTTCATATCTCTGATTAGTTTTAACTATTTGTCTTCAAAAATTTTCATCATTATAGTTATTAAATAAGGAGAAAATCAATGTCAAGACTATCTTAGACAATGTTATTGATCTCGGGTTGCTGCTTACAATTAGAGTTTATCAAACTCTATTTTTAGTCTAAATATGAGACAAAAGGATTGAATTTTATATACTTTTTTACTAGGTAATAGGACATCTTGCGACTACTATAAATATATTCGGAAATAGATCCGATAGAATTTAGTCATTTAATATTATGGAAAAGGATGGATAATAGAGATTGTAATACAAATGCTTTTATGACATATTAATCCAAAGAAAGTCTCAAGTAATACAAAAAAAAAAAAAAAATTGAACATTACTCTAATCACTACGTCATTTGATATTCTTAGTCAATTATAAAAATTTTATAACAATGATTATCAATATACATCAATCTTGTTATTTTTAGAACGTAGTTGTTGATGGATCGATTCATGTTAAGGAAGTTCGATATAGAAAAGGATGTCAATAGAGATAGTACAATAGATTTTCTGATAGAAAAACAATCTGCTGACAAACTGTTTGATGTTAAGAAGGTTATTTTATAAAAAAAAAGACATCATACTGTCATAATATAGATAATATAAAGATTCGAGAGAATTCTAGGAAAACAATTTCCGATTGTTCTTTTTTAAGTATTCTTATACTAAAAGATAATGTTTACCAGGATATTCTTCCTGTGCCAAGATCTTATAATATACTGGTAACTTTAATAAATATAAATAAAACTAAAACAATGAATAACACATATGAAGAACTTAAAATGTTATAATAATTGAAGTAAATACCATAAGAATATTTAAATAATCTTATATAAAAGATTCTAATCAAATTTTGAATATGAATAATCGTACGAAAAAAAATGATATTCAAAATCTGTTTAAACTAATATTTTATTTGTCAAAAAAAAAAAAAAAATCTTCATAGTTGAAAATAATTATCTCTTATGATACTTTCTATATAAAAGATAAGTATACAAAACAAATCTAACGAGTTATTCACGTGGTCTCAAATTTGATAAAAAACAAAAAAAACTTACAGATGTCCTCCTACACTATTTATCTTTAGTTTCATTCAGTTATGATTAAATAGAACACATAAATGAAACAATATCGTAAAACTTTATAAGAAAAATTTCGAATATTGAAAAAACTTTTCAAGCTTAAAACAGTCTCGAACGATCGGTATTAGATTCCTTTCTCAAAATTTCTTATCAACAAAAAAACATAGTGAACGACATTAACGATGATAAAAATTTATCTTCAATATGTCAATCATGATAAGTAGGGATTTGCCATAGTTATCCATATGATTCATATAAAGAGCATGAATTAATCAAGTGAAATTGTTTGAAAATACTGAATATCATTATTTGTGAATCTTAGAAGCTGAAAAAACTTAAATTTCGGATTTTTTTTTTCAGAGATCTTATCTTGAAAATAAAATTTTCGATGTAAATCTTTATTTCAAAATTTTTATTAGTAACAAAAAAAAAAGTAGAAGATAAATACATTTGAATATTTTTGGAAATTACTCTATATAATTATTTTTCTACTACGACATAAACTAATTATAATTAAAAATCATGATATAAATGTCAATCATATTTATCTATGATTTTATTTTTGAGATATTCATGATTTTTTAATCGACAATATACAGAAGATAGAAAAAAAAGCTCAAATTAAATCTTCAAATTTTGTTTTTTTTGTCATCAGTATGAGATTAGAATAGTATAAAGTCTACTTTATATCTATCTTTCACTATGTCAACAATATTATAGATTTGTTCATTCGTTTCTAATGACAATCAACAAACGATAAACGGAGAACATATTTACCAATTTGACTTAAAACAAATGTAGACTATACTAACATACATATAAAAAAAACAAGACAAGAATCAGTATCTTATTTATATTCACTAAAACATCATACACATTATCAATAAACGAAACAACAAAAAAAACACGTATGGGTTTAAAATATTATTCCAAAGAAATCGATAATTCTAAAAATTTCTTGCCATTTTCATTAAATACTGACATACCATCCTATGCAAATACTTCAATTTCGTATCATAAAAATTATCAATGTCCTTCTTCATTATCATCATCATCATCAAAAATGTCTATGATTAATACACACCCGTATACTTCTATTCAAAATCATAATGATATTAATTATTCAACACAAACTTCATATTATTTTCGAAATAATACTTATGCTAATATTTCTAAATCACAAGTTAAATCAACATATATATCAAATGAAACAATATTAAAAAATCTAACATCAATGACAAGTCTATCTAATACAGATATAGAAATCGAATCACAAATATTAGATAAAAATAATCAAATTTATCAAAATCTTAAATTATGTCCAAAACAATTATCATCTAAAATTCCTTTCAAATATAATAAATTATTATTACATCAAAAATCATCAATAGATAATATTAATCCATATTCATCTTCACATAACTATATGAATTTACAACAACAATCAATTATTCCAATAGATAAAATATTATTAAAAAAAAATGATTATTCATCAATATATTCAATAGAAAATGAAGATAGTGACATTGAAATAAATTCAAATCCTAATACTACAAAAGTGAGCTTTAATTACCTTGATAAAAGAAATTCAATAGAAAAAGAGGAGAAAACGAAAAGAGAATACACGACATTTTAATACAATATATAAAGAATGTTAATCTATTCAACATATTTAGATTGTTAAAAAACTTGAAGTCAATTTGGCCCCAAGTTGTTGTGATAAACGTGTTTTATATCGTACAAAGATGCCTTCATCATTTCATCAACAACAAAAATTATTTCTTTCGAAACATCATCATCAACATAATAATATACAACCTATTTATACTAATCAAAATTATCATACAATACAACAACAACAACAAAAAACAAAACGAAATTCAAATATTAATATTCCACTTCATCATCCAATAATAACTGATAAACAATTAAAACATTCATTACAAATAAAATCTGTATCAAATCAATTATATAATGAAATTCAACAAACAATATTAAATGATAATCAATCATTAGATAATATTTATAAAGATAAAGATTTATGTGAATATCCTACAGATTTTCATAAAATATTACAAGATCAAATTTTTGCATGGTATCCAACAGAAAATTATAATGAAGATGATTTAATACCACAAACACATTCAATATTAGAAAATGAACAATCAGATAAACAAGATGATATAACTAATTTAGATGAAGAAGAATTTTGTCAACATGATACATTTGAAGATTTTTTTCTTCGACGTCGTCCAAAATCATCATGTTCAACATTAGCAACAGCTACTAAAACTATTATATCTGATACAATTTCTCATGATATATCTTCTAAACCTTCATTATTAAATCGACGTTTTCCTAGTATTGCTTTAGGTTTAGATAAAACAGATGTTAAATTTATTCATGATATAATTGAACGTTCACATGGTGATAATCGTGTATCAAATCGTATAACAGCACTTCGAGAAGCATATATTCGAGCAATAAATAAAAAACTTAATTTAATTAAAACAAAAAATAATTCTTTAATAGATGAAAATAAAAAAAAACAACATATTAAAACAATAAAACATTCATATGTTACTTCAAAAATTCGTAATGAACTTGAAAAATATGATGAATTACCTATTCATCAAAGAATTACGTTTTCTGATGATGATGATGATACATATTCAATAAATTATCAATATCAAAAACATCATTGTACAATACCTATTATTGTTTCAACAACACATCGTATATTAAATTTTGTTTCATCATTAAAACAACAATTACAAGAATATATTCATCATCTTCGTTCAAGAATTCTTATTGAAACTACGGCAAAATCACCAAATCATGGATTACGACGTAGACGTAGATTTCATCATGTAAATATCATTAATTATAATTATCTTTCATTGTTTGTTCTTTTTTTTTTTTTAGGATTTATCAGGTCAATCTCATCGACATGTATCACGACAAAAACCAATACATAATGTTGTTCGTCATTCAAAAGAACATTCTCATGGTATTCATCGACGTCAACAATTATGTCGTACTCATTCAAATCGATCTCAATTACAACATCAACTACCATCTGATGAACAACATTCATCACATAGACGACGAACATTTCGAATCATTCCTGATCAATAACGACTACCAAAAAAAAAAATTGATTGAACATGGATTTTGTTCTTTTTTTTTTATAGATTTATTTTGTATACAGATTTGCGTGCAGACTTTAATTCATAATATATACTTTATGAATGAATATCATTCTTTAAATACAATTCATAATAAAATTATTCATTAGTTCATAGAAGAGAGAGAGAGTATATATTGAATATCATCTTTTTAAGATAAATATTAAACTTAATAAATTTGTTGACTGATAACATAAAGAATAGTTCATCAGAAAAGGACAATGTTTGAACTCCTATTCATTCAAATAATATTATTGATTTGACATAAGAATATATCAATATAGGTCACGTCTTGGTTACTTTTTAAAACCAACTCGAACTTTCTAGCATTTTAAATGGCTCAAAAAGTTGAAACTTACGAAAACCTTAATTTTGACTCATAGTCATGACCTAAAACTTCGTAGACCTAATGCATCAAGCTGAAATTTTTACTATGAGGTGTCGAACTTGAGAGATATCTTCACTGATTTAAATAACGAACTTCGTCGGAGTATATGAGATATTGATGAAACTTTGTATAAGTGTGACTGCCAACTCCTGTTCGCATGTCATAGTTGTCATTTGACGAACATAAAAAGCGTGAATTGATGAATTTATAACTTTCAAAAATAGTCAATATCATGAAGATATATAAAGAGTGTTTCACAATAACTGATGATGAATTATATTTTTTATACTTTTTTTTTTGACGAATAGAGCTGAAATTTTTGTCACGTATATATATCTTATCAAGATCTTTTATTTCTGAAAATTTCAGCTCTGTCCATCACACAAGCAAAAGCATAAAAAATATCATTAATAATTCTTTGTCAGTTATTATGAAATACTCTTTATGTATACATAAATATAGCTGGGAGAAATTCCACATATGACATAAAGATAATATGGTTGGGAAAATCAAGGATAACGTGTGGAAATATAAAAGAGAAAAATACCACTATATGTTTTATGCTTCAAGAGAATAAATTAACATATGATGTTTCGGCGTAGGCAATACAATCAGGTATAAATTAAGAGAAAAATAAGTAATCATTTTATTAGAAAAGACATCAATTTTTCAAGCTCATAATTCAAAGTAAAAATATGCATGTTGAATCTAAAACAATATAAATTTTTCTCAATGTAATTAAGTATTTTAGAAGCAACAAACAATGTTGCGATTTATTTTGATTTTGTTGATTGGATTGTCAAATCTTCCAAAGACTAGTAATGAAAATTATTCACGCAAATGATCTGGAATTTTCTTTATTTATTTTTTTTTAATATTAACTGTGTAGATTCATGTGTAGCTCAATGGGGTCAATGTGGTGGTATTTCCTATACAGGTTCAAAAGATTGTTGTGCACCATATGTATGTCAATATAGTAATCCTTGGTATTCACAATGCTTGACAGGACAAACACAATCGAGGAAAACAACAATATCACCAAGATCTAGAACTTCAGTAAAAAGTAAGTATATTAAGTTTCGATCATGTCATGAATATTGACTTCATGAAATGTAGGATATTCAAAAAACAGTTTATCATTATATAACTTATTTATACGGCAGCTAGTTTAGATATGTTTATTAGAATGATAGATTTTAGTAAAAAAAAACAATTTATTAAATTGTTTATATTTCATCGAGAAAATAAATTATGTTATATTTATATGAGCAAACTCTTCCAATTGATTGTTCTTTTTTCTTGATTGTTTGTTTGTTTGTCTTTACAGAAGGTTGCAGTGCTTTGTGGCAACAATGTGGTGGTATTGGATGGACTGGTCCAACATGTTGTGATCAATCAACATGTGTTGTTGGTAATCCATATTATTCTCAATGTTTACAATCAGGAGTATCATCTAGTTCCTCATTCACTTCAAGTAGTACTGTCAGTACAGTAACAAAATCATCTCCAAATGATGGTCATCAACCCGGTGTCACTACTCGTTATTGGGATTGCTGTAAAGCAAGTTGTGGATGGTCATATAAAGCTTCTGTAACAAGTCCAGTTAGAACATGTGCACAAAATGGTATTACACCTGTTGATAGTAATACTCAATCAGGCTGTACTGGTGGTTCTGCTTATATGTGTAATAATCAACAACCGTGGAATGTTAGTTCAACTCTTTCATATGGTTATGCTGCTGCTCATATTGCTGTAAGAAAAACAAAAACATCGTGTTCATATTTTGAAATAGAAAAATATATGTATGTAATATTATTTTGTATTAGGGTAAAAGTGAAGCAGATTGGTGTTGTGCTTGTTATTCATTAATATTTACATCAGGACCTGTTGTTGGTAAAAAATTAATAGTTCAAGTAACAAATACGGGTGATGATCTTGGTAATAATCATTTTGATCTTCAAATGCCTGGTGGTGGTGTTGGTATATTTGATGGATGTTCAAGACAATTTCCTGGTTCATATTCATGGGGTCAACGATATGGTGGTGTTAGTCAAAGATCAGATTGTGCTAATTTACCACGTGCTATTCAAGCAGGTTGTTATTGGCGATTTGATTGGTTTATGAATGCTGATAATCCAACGATCAGTTTCAAACAAGTACCTTGTCCATCTGTTCTTACTGCAAATACTCAATGTATCAGAAGTTAACTCAATCCAATAAATATCGTTTTCAGAGACATACGTGTCATTATTTCTCATATAGTGACAATACATCTATTATTATGTTTTTCTTTCTGTTCTGTGACATCGTCATATTAGTTATCAGGATAAATAAATATCTATATATATCTATAATTAATCTTACCTCAGGAACGTTTAAATGACCTGAAATTTTCACAATATGTTGAGACTGTAGTTGAGAAGCTATGATAAAGTTTTCAGTTCGATATTATGACGTTTGAGGAAGATGCTGGCCAAACAAGTGTCAAAAATAACAACGGAGAAAAACGAAAAAGATTTTCTGTTTTTTCTGAAAACAGCTTATTTTTTCGAATAGGAGATGAGAGAAATCTTCAAAACTTTTTGGAAAAAACGAGATGTCGAGTAAAAATATTTGTGGTTTATGAAAGACTAGATCATGAACTATCTTCCTATGCATTTATCTTAATTTCGACCATTCTGATGAAAAGTGACTCTTTTGAGAGAATCTTGAAAGAAAAAATGAATATAACCTACAGCGCGAAAGTCTTAGCACAAATTTGTTTTTCTTATATGTTTATTAGCAAAAGTCTTACTGTTTGACAAATAATATCAAAAGAAAGTAAAAACAGAGATGTTCTAAAAATTGAAATTAGCAATCTTTCGAAATTATTTTGCAATGAACGGAAGAACATTGTATCAACTAATCGCGTTTAATAATTTTTATTAATAGCTATCACAAAACCGGCAAGCTTTTATTCTTGTCGGATTTTGCAACAAGCCATTATCCATCGAGTGCAATTAAGTTTTTAGAAGAACACCACATCGATGCAGTGCCAAAAGAAAAGAATCCTCCAAACTGTCCTCAGGCAAGTCCTATTGAAACAATTTGGTCGATTCTGGATGATAAAGTATACATTAATGGTTGGGAAACAAAAACTATTGGCCAGTTGAAAACAAATATAAGTCAAATATATCAACCAGGTCGAAAAATTTGACTTCGTGCTGACTCAGGAAAAAAAATACATTATTCAATAGACCTCAAAAAGCTAAACATGATGATCTAATTTTCCCAAAGTGCTACTCCCAAGTTCCCTGCAAAAATGAAAAAAAAACGTACTCAGCGACAATTGTCATTCGTCTTTCCTTCTCTTTCTACATCTTTTTTTTTCTACACGCGAACATGTTCATGTAGAGAAGCCTTGGTGATATTGTTGTTGTCGTCAATTGTGTTTGTCTTGTCAAGTATTGTGAGTACGACGGATTACTATATTGACATACATATGGTGCACAACAATCTTTTGAATCTGTATAGGAAATACCACCACATTGACCCCATTGAGCCACATATGAACCTACACAATTAATATTAAAAAAAAATAAAGAAAACTCCAGATCATTTGCGTGAATAATTTTCATTACTAGTCTTTGGTAGATTTGACAATCCAATCAACAAAATCAGAATAAATTGCAACATTGTTTATTGCCTCTAAAATACTTAATTACATTGAGAACAATTTATATTGCTTTAGATTCAACATGCATTTTTACTTTGAATTATGAGCTTGAAAAATTGATGTCTTTTCTAATAAAATGATTACTTATTTTTCTCTTAATTTATGCGTGACTGTATCCAAGGAGAAAAAAATTTGGAAAAACGCGTTTAAACGCATTAAAGAGAACCGCGATTGTTAGCGATTCACGCTACTTATTAAAACGCCATATTTAGCATGAAATTATCACTTTTAGAGCGTTGAAACCGTCAAAAACTCGTGGTTTTAGTGTTTAAACGCGATTTCATTTTAGAATTTAAAAAATCCGAGTTTTTGACGGTTTTAACGCTCTAAAAGTGATAATTTCATACTAAATATGGCATTTTACTAAGTAGCACGAATGGCTCACAATCGCAGTTCCCTTTTGTGCGTTTAAACACGTTTTTCCAAATTTTTGTCTGCTTGGATATTGACTTCATTCATCTAGTGTTAGTGATTTGTCAAATATACGCCAAAACATTATATGTTGATTTATTCCCTTGAAGTCATAAAACATATAGTGGTACTTTTTCTCTTTTATATCCTCACACTTTATACTTGATTTTCCCTACCATATTATCTTATGTCATATGTGGGGTTTCTCCCAGCTACTTTTATGTATACATAAAGGGTATTTCATAATAACTGACAAAAACTAATTAATGATATGTTTATCCTTTTTCTTTTTCTGATGGACAGAGCTGAAATTTTCAGTTGTCTAGCTATAACTAGTGGTCAAATATCACTGAGTAGACTGAAATACATAAATTTTTCTACTCGACTTTTGTATTATTTTCAGTGTTAGAATAAAATGCTAAAAACGAGTACGAAAATGTATTTTGTTCAATTTTGTCGATGTTTTTCACCATTAGTTAATATCTAGCAAGCAGAAACTTTGAGAAATAAAAGATCTTGATAAGATATATATGTAATAAAAATTTCAGTTTTCTACGTCAAGAAAAATTATGAAAAATGTCTATAAAAAATCTATCGTGAATTATTAAGAGACACTTTCTATGTACTTCAATCTTGTCTATGTATATCACTACTAGTTAAAGCTAGATGGTTGAAATTTTCATAAATAAAAGATCTTGATTATATATATATCAGTTATTGTGAAACATCCTTGAATAATGTATTAAGACCTGTTGCTGTAGATATAATGGATATTTACACACAACCTAATTTTCCATTTTATTCAATGCTTACAAGAATAACAATGTGAAATGACTTTGCTGATCGATTATCTTCGAATAGAACTATAGTCTATAAGAGTTTTTTCACTTCAATTATTTTTTATTAGTTTAATATGAGGCTAAACAACATATGTGAGTTCCATATTTGAAACCACAGAAGATCTTTTCTAACAAGCGTTTTTTTCCAAATCATTAATTTCACATGTTGTTATGACATTGGTATTTTTAATATATATCAATTTGTTTTCAATATATTTTTATCTGCTTTTATTTGCTATTATTGATGTTTATATATATAAAACATATTGAAGATAAGACACGCCTCATTGACAGGGTCAAACAAATATCTAAAAAACGATTCATGTCAATCGAAAGATTCATTAATACCTCATTACATATGTTTTTCTTAAATTAGATAAAAGAGAATATATCAAGTGAAAATGACATGTCAAGTGTTAGTTCCTTGTTTTTTTTTTTAGTCTCATGTGCAAAAAAAAGAAAATAAGAACAATCTTAGTATTTGTTTTTCTTGATAAAGAATTCTTATGATGTTGCTTAAGATAGTCTAATGACGTCAAGAAGACTATTAAAAGTTGTCATATAATTGCTTTCCGAACAAAGAAAAATTTCAACAACTATGTATGCACATGATGATTTCTCAGGATAAGTATATATTTATGCACGATAGCATAGAGAGGGTACAGATTTCAGACAAACGCGAAAGTTTTGAAAAAAAATACAGGCCATCACACAATACTATTATATGTAGATATATCAATTGTTTTCACATGAGACTCTTTTTGTCAGCATCTCAGATACTATACTATTTTACATGTATAGGAAGTTCGTCTAGGTACGTACTCAATAATATTTCATACGAATGTGCTCGTAGAGAACTCTCGCATGTGTATAAAACGTCGTCGTCGTATTACAATAGCCAGGAGGTTTTCTTTTCTAGAAATCATATTTAAATACAGACATAACTTGTTTTATAAGTAGTACTTTTTCATAATTTGTTGAGTATGCATACATAAATATGCTAATAATTTTGAAGAATCTGACAGTCTGAAGTATTTCTAGTAAATTAAGTTTATTTATAAGGAAGCGTTTTTTATTTGAATGAAAAATAAATAAATTCTCATATACAATCGTACGTACATCACAAAACATCAATAGTTTACATGTTGACAAAACAAAATTGCTTTGACAATACTTTTCATAGATATGAATTTTTTTTTTTCTATTCATGAATATTTAGTATTCAAAAAAAGAAAAAAAACAACCATCCTAGTCATCTCATTGATATACGCAAATAACACTTTAACATTTATATATAACTTATACACATTTTGCATGCATATTCAAGAATATTCCATGTAAATATTTACTATATATTTACATGACTCATGTATGATCTCGTTTTATTTTGAAATCTTTTATAAAATTTTATTTTTATTTTTGTACAATAATATTAAGAGTTTCAAATAACTTATATATTCGTCATAAACGATACAATAAATTGGAAAAAAAAAAGTATTTTACAAATATATATATACGGTTTTCTTTTGTGTAAATTTACCATTTTTCTAAGCTTTCAGTTTTAATTGAAATATAAATAATATCACATAACAAAGTATATACATTCAATTAGAATAGGATATGATTGTCATACTTATTATTATTATAATTATTAGTAAGACAATTTTAAACTAATATGACAAGTCTTTCTTTTTATTTTCATGATTTAAATATATACGATTTTTTTTTTCTTATTTCTTTTCGAAAAAAAAAAAAATGTTACTTGTTCGTAATAATACAAAGAGATTCATCTCTCGGATATATTTCTTTTTTCTTTTTATATTTATTCTTTTGTCTCTTTATTTTCGGATAAAAAAAAAGACTAATAACACGTATTACTCTATTGTAAATTGAAGTCTATTAATATATCCTTTTCTTTCATGTTTCTGTATCTTTATTCATTTTTGAAGAGATAATTTTTACTTTTAATAATAACCATACTAATATTATCGTTTGATTCAAAGAAAATTGGTCTATATTCATAAAAAATAAAAAATAAAAGTTTTTGATACGAAGAGAATAAGAAAAAAAGACGGTTTTATACGTTGTCGCATGTTATAATAATGTATTTTTTTTTTTTTGAAATAACGAGCAGGTAGGTTGTAAAAAAAAAAGGAAATCTTTCTTCTAGGTTTTTTTTCTTACTTCCTATTTTATTTTTTCTCTTTTTTTTTTTTCATATCTAGAAAACAAACATGTGTGTCACAAAGAATGAGAAAAAAAAACACAAAGAATTATAATAAACTTAGACATTTCTTAAAGACGCAGTTTATTGATTCAAAAACAGGCCATATTACATTATGGTGAGTATGAAGCACATATTACATACGCATAATAATCAATCACTTACAGAGTTTATTTTTGGCGACTATCATAAGAGAAAAAAAAAAGGTTTTCAAGAGTTGACAACATTTAATTTTATGTGAATACAGAGAGAGAACGACAAAACAAGAGAAAAAAAACTGAGAAGTAAAAAAAAATAAAAATAACACAATAACTTTGCGATAAAAATTTGTTGAAAAAGGAAGAAATAGTGATTTTAATGTTGTAGTACTTTTAGATGAATTGATCTTTCTATTGGTATTATGGACTCATTATCGTCATCAAAAAATACGTCTACGAAAAGTAGACTTACTAATAGTTATTATTTTTATGGTACACATCCATTGAAAGTTTCAAACAGTATAATTCATTCGAATTCTGCCAATCATATATCATCAACATCGGATCAAAATACAACACATCATTTATCACTTAATTCTACAATTAATCATAATAGATTTTCATCTAATTCAGATTTATCAACAACTCAATCATTACGTAATTTTTCACAATCTTATCAAGATGAAGATGAAACTAGTGAGGTAAAAAAATTTTTTTTTTCATAATTATTTGTATGATGTCCTCTTTTTTTCTAAATTTATTTTCGAAGAAAAATACTCTTTTCTTTGTTTGAATGATTTTCATAGGCTTATTTTTTTTAATCACAAACTATGTCTTCAGGAAGGAAAAAAATTCATTCGAGCTTTCAGATTTTAAAAGTCTATATGTCAAAACAAAATAAAACTATACGTAACTGTGTCACCTTGGAGAAGAAAGAAAAGAACAAAAAAAAATTTCTTTTCCTTTTCCAATGATATTAACGTCCGATAATAATAAAAAAAAAAAAACAATCAAGAGAATTTATTTTAGATTTTTGAAGATGCTGTAGAAAGTTTTGACGATGATTATAACCAAAACAATTCTCATAGGTTTGTTTCATAATATATCTTTTAATATAGTATATAATATTGATTTATTTATTTTAAATCATGTAAGACGATCATCATTAAAACAACATGGAACTTCAGCAATTGATTTATGTCAAATGTTTAATGAATGTCAAGAAATTACTAAACTTTTTTTTGAAAATCATCTTAATGAAGCACTTAAAAGAACTAAAGCAGAGTATGTCATAATATAGATTACATAATTTGTACCAAAAATACTTGTTTTTTATATTTAGAGAAAATCGGTCTTTTTATCATGGTTTAAGTCATAGTGTAATAAGTTATTTGCACGCAGCAATGACATTTAATCAGGTAAGATATATAATTGTCATCACTTAAAAAAAATTTAATATTTTACAAATAGAATGACATTGAAACAGCAATTCAAGCACTACGACATACAAGTAATATGACGAAAACATATGAACCATATCGACCATGGATACCCTTTAGTCTTTCAGCTAAACCAGTCATGACGGAATGTAATTTTATTTGAAGAATTTTTAATATAAATAGAAAAAAAATAATTTATTTTAGATGAATTACATGCTAAATTAGTCTATGCTGAAGTATTATTAATTCGAGCTTTACTAACATTTATTCAAGATCAAAGTTTATTTAGTTTTATAAGTGGTGCATTAAAAATCAAAGAATGTCATAATATATTTTTGTAAATTTTTCCTGTATTATTTATTTTATTTTTTTCGTATTCTATTTAATAGAAAATTAGCAAAACAAAATGATCCTTCGAAATTTTCTTCAAATTTATCATATGAACATTTTGATAGTGGAGTACGATTTGGTAATGGTGCATTTAATTTGGTATATGAAAAAAAAGAAACATTATCTATATTATTTTTAATTATATAAATATTTAGATGATTTCAAATTTACCACAACGTATAATTAGATATCTTGAATTTGCTGGTTTTTCAGGAAATAGAGTAAGTTTATATTTCTCTTTATATGATAATTTAAAGGGGATAAATCTTACTCTAGGAACTTGGCCTTAATGAACTAAAGAAAAGTGCTACTAGTAGTGGGTTACGTGCATTATTTGCAGCTTTACTTATGCTTGGTTATCATACATTTGTTACACAAGTATTTGGTAAAATTTCTTCTATTAAATAAGACAACAATTTAAAAAAAAAAGAATTGTTTTTCTTTTCAGGTAATGCTGATGGTGATCTTGAAACTTGTCATATGTTAGTTGAACGTTATCTAGCAATATATCCTAATGTAAGTATGATATATTATAGATGTAATAAAAAGAACAAAGAAAAAACAAAACAAAAAGATATTAGAATAATTCTAGAATATTTATTTAACATTAAATAGATAGTCTTCGTGTTAATTTTCGATGTATATTATCTTCATTTAATGTTTGACATTGTTGATTATTGACTTCAATTGAACATTTTGTATGAGGTACTTCAATTGGAAAACAAAGTGGTATTGGTATTGGAATAGGTAATGGGATAAATGTTGGTAGAATACAAGTGAAATTTGATAATGTTCCTTTTGTTAATGTTGTAAATAAATTTGATGATGATGTATCAGATGATATATTAGAAATTGTTGATGATGATAATGGTTGTGATGATGATGCTGATAGAGATGGTATGAGAGGAGGAGGAGGAGGAGGAGGAACAAAAAAAGGATATTGAAAACGATTGATATCTACTGGAGGTGGCCATGAAATATTTGATGGTAAAACAAGTGAAGGTTGCCATGTAAGACTAACAGGTAGATTAGAAGAAACTAATGATGTTGTTGGATCAATACGATGAATTTTGCTATTTGAAGGAGGAGTTATTGATGATGAAGATGAAGATGATCGATGACGTTTTGATAATGGAGATGATGAAAGTTTTCGAGTAATACTATTAATTTTTGTTTTTGATATTGTTGGTGTTGGACGACGAACTGGTAATATTAATTTTCGTCGATTTGTATCATTTAATTGATGTTCATATTTATTCGTTCCATTTTTCTTATCAAAAGACTAAAATATTTAAGAATTTAAAAAAAAATATTGTTTTATTTTTATCATGATTAAATAAATTAGGTCAAAAAAAAAACAAAAATATCAGAAAAGTTTATAAAAATAAAAATATGTTCGAAACGACATAAAAAAAAAACAACAAATTCCTATGTAGAGATTTAAAACTTTAGTTCAAAGAATATATGCATTAGTCAAGACTAATTTTCATCAAATTTTTGTCCGTACACACCTACTCTCATTGTTATTTTCGAATACTGTGACCTATACTTCTTCTAAGGTTGAAATATGATAAAAATTGGCTTTAAGTATTGAGTGTACTATTCGATGTAGATTTTTATAGTGATTCTGTATATGATATTCGTTTCTTTTCGAATTGAAGTTCTAATGATGAAAGTCACTGAATACAAATCCATTTTTATGGCATTTTGCTATCTCTATCGACAAATTCGATTTTCTTAACAATCAAGCGATATTCTTCAACAAGCATGCATAATTTTTTTTCTTCTTAACTCAATGATGTATATGAGCAATTAAACAATTCGGATAAGTATTGAAGCTATTTGAGACTTAATGCGTCTGGTTTTCTAAATGTTTTGTTTTTTTTGAACCTAATTTATCCAACGATAACAAAAAAGAATTTACTCCGATTTCGAATTATCGTCACCTTATTATTATTGAATTCTGATTTATTTTTGGTTGTTGATATAATTGGTAATGTATTATGATCAATATCAGATTCAGAACCCTAGAAAATAAATAAATTCATTCGTGTTTTCTTTTCTTATTAATAGTTTTTTTTTTTGTTCTAACTTTATTCTTTTTAAATGATGCCCGACGATATTGATTAAAACATACTTCACTACATAATGTTTTTGAATCATCATTATCAGTACGTAATGTAAATGAACGTACACCTAATTTTTGACACCAAGCACATGTTGATGCTATAATAAATAAATAAATAAATAAACTAAAACTTGATTTTTTTTTTTTTTATTATGATAATTTAATTTACGTTCTTGTTCTTGATTAACAATTGGTTTTGTTCGAGAATTTTTTACGGATGTTTGATTTGTTAAATTATAACCATATAAACGAAGTAATTCATTAACTTGCAATTCAACTGGTTCATCTTTGACTTGTACATTTGTTTTCATGGTTGAAACAGTTTGATTCTTTTTTTTCCCTCGTCGTTGTCTATCTGTCAAGCAGCAGTAACATAAATGAGACAAGAGAAAAAAGAGAAGAGAGAGAGAGAGAAAGAGAGATCAGAATGGAATTAGATTTCAGCAGCGTTGGTGTCGATATCTGATTTCTTCCTCACGTTCGCTATGTCGTCCTATCGAATTACTCTTTATATTCATCTCTATTCGATGAAGTCCAGTAGTATAGTGTGGTTATTGGTCATCGTATTCTTAGATTAGACTGCTATTGATGGTTATTATTATTTTTCTTTTTCTTTTTCTTTTTTTTTTTTTTTTTATTCTCTATATTGAATTATACTCGGATTACCTTTGATTTTTTACACTTTATCAAAGGAATCACAGATCGATTTCGTATGTATATGTAAGAAAAAGAACACGAGACATAGAGAGAAAGAGATAGATGAACATTTCCTTTACCCCTTCTGTTTTTGAATAGAAAAAAAAAAGAAAAGGGAGCATCTTCATTAACTTTGGCTAGAGGCAGAGAGAGAGAGAGAGGGTGAAGTCATATCATATTTCAATCCACACTCATATCCGATTGCTGCAATGATATTTTGAGGAAAAGAGCATTGAGAATTATTGTATATATATTATATATATGTTGATTGAAGACTCTATATGGCTATGTTTTGATGCTATTGAGCATTTTTTTTTGTGTGTGTGTATGAGACAAAAAAACTCAAATTGTTTTTGTCAAGTCAAGAAATTTGAGAAATCTAGTGGGTGGTATCGTACAATTTAATAGATGACAATTGTTTGAGATAGGATCTAAAATTTGGCTTATGTATGTCACATATATATATGAATCTACGATTTGCCTTGATTTCTTTCTTTTTTTTTTCTTTATTCGATGTTAAATATGAAAACTAAATAGTAAAGTCATTCTCAAATTTCAATGGAAAAATGATAGATCAGGTTTATTTTTTTCTTGTTTTTCTTTTTAGTCCTATTTTTTCCTTTTCTTTCGAGCAAGACTTCATACAATTAGTTGTCGACTTGATGAAGTAATTTAATTTATTTGAAATAAAAATAAATAACAATAAAAATGAATATTTTTCATTAAGGGAATTAATACATATGAATATGCAATGTATTGTCAAAATGATTGGAAAGATTTTCATCATGTAAGAATTTTTAAAAAACAAACTATTTCAATAGAAAAATCATATATATTCATAGCTTGCATATTGGGAATTAGTATGGTGTCGTGTGTAAGTATTTTAATAGAAAATTATATACTAATTTTATTTCTGTTATTAAAAAAAGACTTCAACGACAATGGAAAGAAGCATCTGTTATGGCTCAAACACTTTTAGATCACAATAATTGGAGTAAAGCAACTTATTGTTATTTATTATCAACATTTATTTTCGAAGAAAATAATGGAGTAGCAACAGATGAAGTTGTCAGATTATATAAGTTAGAAATGAAATTTTTGTTGTTTTCTATATTAAATATTTTATTTTAGACGAGTACCAGATCTAAAAATTCGTCTTGCAGGCAAATCAATACCATTAGAAAAATATGCAATTAAAAAATGTGAACATTTTCTTGCGCAAAATTGGTTATTTTTACCTGGATTGGTAACTAGCGATATCTATTTAATATATTTTTCAATAAAGTTTTTGATACATTTGTATGAATAAGGAAAAAAAAATATATATATATCTATATTTACAAATTGTTTCTTTTCGGTTTCTCAGAAGACAAAAAAAAATTTGTTTTTTAAAGGTTTTTATATGAATTTAATGAAGATTGGAAATGAACCATTATTAATTTTTCTTTCTTTTTGTTTTTTCTAGGAATTGCTCTATCTTATGAATGGTTTCTATATACTTGCTTATGATTCTAATAGATTAAATGCAACACTTGATATTGTTAATAATGCTTTAAATGACTTACAACTTCATCATACAAGTAAAACTATTTAATTATTAATCTTTTTTTTTTTTTGTCAATAGAAGTATCATCTTTTTTGTTTTTTTTGCATAGATGATCGATTCTATATAGATAGTTATGGTTCTGGTTTATTACTTCGTGGTGTTCTTTTACATTTTCTTCATCGATATAATCAAGCACATGAAGCATTCGATGAAATAATTCGTTTGTTAGTCAAAATCTTATGTTTTTTTTTTGAAATATTCTTTGTTTTTTTTTTTGTTGTTGCTTTAGAGCAAAAAAATTTGATACAAAATCATTTTTAGCACCGAATGCTTTATTAGAAAAAGGATTAATTTATCTTAGTTTAAAACAAAAACAACAAGCAATTGATTATTTACATAAATCATTGTAATATTTATATTTTATTTATAAATAAATTATTCTTATGTTTTTTTGTTGATTTAAGGAATGATTATAAAGATTATCAACTTGAATCTCGTCTTCAATTTCGTATAAATGCTGCAATGCAAAAAGTGAAACAAATGGATAATTAAATAAATATTAAATACGAAAAGAAAACAAGAGAAGTAATAAAACAAATATTTGTGATATTTCTTTTTATTTTGTATTTTTTATTGATTGATGTTTTTTTTTGCATGTTGAAATAAATCTTTTTTTATTTTCATCTTGTTTTTCTTATTAAGTAAACAAATGTATACCGATAGATTCTGCTAGTTTATGAGCATCAACACTGAATACATTGTATTCATTATGTTGTTGTTTATGAACTAATGATTGACGTTGTATAGTAGAATTTGATATAGATGTTTCATATAAACCAAATTTATATATTTCTATACGATTTATTGAACTAGAGCCTTCCGGATGATAAATATATTCCATATTAATATCGATTGATACTCGTATTATACCATTATGTCCTATACGAATACCTAATGGACCATCCGTACGATTTTTAATATTCCAATAGAGCATTGATGGACCACGTTCGAGTATAATAAATTGTGGAGATAATTGAAAACAAAGAGATGATCGACCACCATCTAAGAAAAAAAAAACATGAACTTCAAAACTAGAATATTTTTGTTTTTTTGTCTTTTTAATCAATTATTAAAATAAAACTAATGTAAATTCTAGATTTACTATATAAAATATTGTCACGTAAACTATGCGATCTTATTTCGTATAATAATCTTCTTTTTTTTTTTTTTTTTTGAAATTCTTTCGAAGTAATCAATAATATTCAAACTGTTTAATTTCTATTTCTATCGTTACTACACATTATCGTATATCATGTTAAGATCAAATAACAACTGTTAGTTATACTAAAAAATTCTGATATCAAATATCATATTGTAATTGGTTGTTGCATATCGAATATCACTTTGGAATGGGATACGAAATAGAGAAATTTAGACTAATATCGAATGTCTTTTAGAATGCATCAGATACAATGAGAGCTATTCTTCTTTTATATTTCATTTGAATTTGTATTAACAGAAACTCAATTAATAAATATTTAGACTTGGATTAAATGAAGAATCTATACTAAGATCGTTAGGGTTGATAATAATGAATTAAAAACGTAAAGTTCTTTATTCTAAAAATTTGTACAAAACAAATTTTTTTTTTTTTTATTAATAAAATTTTCGACCTACATGGTTTAGCTGAATCCATAAGTTTTCCTTCTAATAAAATAGCAAAAATTCTTTCATCATTACAATAAAACATAATAAGGAATGGTCCATCAATATAATATGTTAATTCACATAGTGTAACAATTGAATATCCATGTTTATCTGAATCATAAATATTTTTAATAAATTCTTGACGAGAAATTTTTTCATAGATATTTATTGGATCATATTCATTAAGAAAAACTTTATTAGAAACTAACCAATTAGTTATATACCAAAGAAATGTTAATGATAAATTTGAATTAAATTCATAAGATAATATTTCTATTGTTTGTGTTTTATTAATTGTAGATAATAGACAATTTTTAAACCATTTATGAATACTAATAAATCCCCATGGTAATATACGTTTAATTAATTTTATATAAGTTTTACAATTATGATTTTGATTTAATTGATAAAAATAATTAGAGAATTTTTCTAAAAATATCTTTAAAGAAAAATATAACTATTAGTATGATCTTTTTAGAATTAAAATATGAAATACAAATTGAATGTTACTAACGACTGTGAAGAGAGAGAGAGACGAATTGTTTCCCTGAGCATATTGAAGTAATATGTCATTTTTTTAAACTTAATGGTTTAATTCTCCTCAAAAAAACTAATTTTTGAATTTCAACTTAAAACTTTTTACCCCTCGTTAAGTTTTATCTTTTCGTCAAGTTGTAATTCTAAGCTAATTTTGATCGATATAATGAACATAGTCTCAACTGAAAAGCAATTTTTCTATTAAAAGACCTTCCCTCGTAACCCATCTGTCACGGTCTGTGGGGAATGCAATTTTATTTGTCCTTATAATTCAATCTTTGTTTTAGATCATGTTTCAGAAAAAAAAGAAGGAGATTAATTAATCCTGTCACGACTACCTGGAGTTGACACGGACTTCACCAAAGTTTCATTCTACTATTATAAAATACATAATATTAGATGAAACCGATCATATTTCAAATATACTCTAATGCAGACTAGTACAGAATATATGCTGATAACATCTGTCATTTACGGTGAACTATTATTTATGTGAGTAAACTATCCTGAAGTACATGCAAACGTCTGTTAACTAATAAGCATTCGTCCGAATCCTTGTGAGATGCACTGTTACATTAGGTATTCATAACATGTAATCAAATAATGTCCTTTTAGTTATGTGTTTGAGACAGTTACTGAGAGAGCTTCGTGAGACGTCCCCTTCTTTTTTTTGCCTGTAGATTAGAGAGCTGCGGGTCCTTCCAGACCCGGGCCCAAGTCCGGGTCTAAACCTAAGAGAAAAGTCAGACCCGGCCTGCATTAAGTTATGAATGGAAATATATAACAATAACAATTGAAGTCAACAAAATTGAAAAAGAAACAGTCAGAAATAATTTTACACTCATTTTCCCTTTAAAGTCGCCAATAAAGAACTAAAATTGTGTTCCCTTTTCTGTTCATGTACACATAGGGTGCCAAATATTGGTGAAAAAAGGATCGGGTCTAGACCCGGCCGGGTCCGGGTCTGAAAATTTAGTTTTTCTGGGGCTCGGGTCCAAAAAAACATGGACCCGCAGCTCTCTACTGTAGATACTACATAGTATTCTAATAAAAATCATAAAAAGATTTGAGTTTCGATTAAAATTTGACTAAGCTATTGCATTTACTTTCTATAGATCCTAGTCTTTTGGAAGGTATAGAGAGCTCAACTAGACTTATGAATTTATTTATGTAGTTAAGTTTTCTATATGCGCGAAGTTTTAGATTACAATCTGAAAATACGAGTTATAGTTTTTCAAAGAAACATCATTCAATTGTACACAATTATTCTTCTTATGATTTCAAATATCAGAATGATTAAGATCATGAAAGAAAAAGACTTGACAATTATAGTTCATAGTAATTGCTTATGCTATATTTATTTTATCAATTGAATTATACATAAACTATAATAAGTATTAATCTTAAAGATGGTTTTGTTAGAATTAAAATTTAAAAAAAAAACTTCTAACTTGACTCGATTTTGTAAGATTTGTTTGAACATTTGATTGTATAGCTGTAAAAAAGAAAGCATCTTTAATTAATTCATAAAATAATATTGAATTAATTGAAATATTTTCAAATTGATTATCATTTAATATTGTATTAATATTTATATTAAAATAATTATTTTTTGATAAAATAATATGAAATAATAATAAAATAAAATCTATATGATTAATAAATTCATGACAATTAATAATATATTGTGCAAATAAATTAAATTCATTTATATTTATATAATTTGTTTGTTGTTGATTAAGATAAAAAAATAAATGTTGTATTATAAAACGATCATAATGAAAAAATTCTAAAAAACATTTATAACAAATTGAATCTTTTTTATTTGATATATGTAAACAATATTTTGCTAAATTTCGAATATTAATATTATAATTTGATAATTGTGAATAATTATTATTATTTAATAAATTTTTATAATTAAAACAATTTGAACATTGTCTTAACCATTTTGTTATAATATTCATTATACATCTTTTTCTTTTTTTTGCGTCTATATGAAGATAAAAAAAATAATTTCTCTTGCGCCGTTTTAGATATTTAATAATAAAATATACTTGTTTTTTTTTGTTATTCAATAAATAAAATGGTATTTAATCAAGTTATGTCTTATTTATTATCATTACTTGAACATTCAAATTTGGATTTAATTTATTTATCATGGTTATGGAATTTATTTAAACCATTATGTATAGTTTTATTAACATTATTTCTTTTACCAGCTATTATACTTATATTTATGTATTGTTCATCATTATTTTGTTTAATATATAAACATTGGAATCGGTTAAAAGTAGGTAAGTTTTTTATTTATGTATAATTTAAAAAGCTATTGTTTTTTTGTTTTGCATAATTTTCTAGGCTGCTTATTCAGAAGATCTATGGTATGGAGCAATAAAAACTTTAGCTGTCTTTTGGGAATTACAAGCAACAATATGGCATGGTAAAATATATTTATAGTCTATTTCAATTCGAATTTATCCTTTTTTTTTTAAAAAAAAGGAATTCTATGGTTATTCTATTTTTGAGTTTTAATTCAATAACAAAACTGATTTTGAAAGAAAGAATAGATTGGTAAATTTTCAGACAAAATATTCGGTTTGTATATAGAGCAATATGAGATTTAATTATTGGATTAGGTTTAACATATTTTTTTTTTTTTGGTAAAAACATTAAATTTAAAAATGATTCGTTATTATTGTTGATAAAAAAAAATGCTGTCGGATATTCTATTAGTATATTTTCTTGGTGAGCGCAAAAAGAAATTTTTTTGTTTTTTGAGGATCTATAATGATTATATTTATTAATTAGTTTATGATAGGATGAGAACTCTATCCTAAACTAATCGATAAGCATAAAAAATCTGTATTCCAAAACATTCAAAAGTATAAGAACACTTACGAGGGAACCGTTCCAACTGATAAATCGCTTTTTTAATGAAAGCTGGTGGGTTATAGGTTATCGACTATGCTGATTCCGAATATGAGTATGAGGAGTGCCCTTAGGCCTTCATAGGGTGGGTTTCTGGAAAACCAGGTCTTCAGAAAACTAATTTAAATGAAATTTTTGTTTTTGATCTGCTCAGATTATAGAGCACATTGAGTTGCCTATAAATCAATAGTTTTTCCTGCTTTGCATGGATTGTCTTGAATAAACAACATTAAACTTTCCTATTTGTACAGTGAAATGCTAGTAATATGCATCTACTATGTGAATTCCATTGACTGTATGTCATCGTAAAATCTATTTGAAACAAAAGAAAATATCGATTAATAGACAACTTGATGTGCTTTATAACCTGAGCAGGTCAAAAACAAAAATTTAGTTTAAAGTTGGTTTTCTAGAGATCTGGTTTTCTAGAAAACCATCCTATAAAGGCCTAAGGGCACTCCTCATACTCATATTCGAAATCAGCATAGTCGATAACCTATAACCCACCAGCTTTCATTAAAAAAGCGATTTATCAGTTGGAACGGTTCCCTCGTTAGTATTTGAAAATTATTTTTTTCGTCTTTATCAAAGAAATATGCAGAGTTTCACACTTTATCCCTAAAATCTATTTTATTTATACATCAAAATTTGTTATATTATTAATATTTTCTTCATTGAATATTCAAATAGATATAAATATACTCAGTTATTTTAGTTCCAAGCTTAATACAATTGAGACTAGTTTACTCATATCTAAACCCAATTCAATCATAAAAAGATTGCTATACTTATAATGCTTGTTGATGTAATCAGCTCTATTTAAATATATTAATCTAAAGATAAAATCTTTTGCTGCTAAAATACAGAATAATCTTTTACTCTTTTGTTTTTTTTTTGGTTTCTTTTTCTATAGGTTATGAAGTAGAAGGATTAGAAAACATTCCAACTCAGGGTCCAGTTTTGATTATTTTTTATCATGGTGCATTACCTATTGATTTCTATTATCTATTTGCTAAAATATGGCTTTATCGTAATCGACGTGTACGAGTTGTTGCCGATAAATTTGTTTTTAAAATTCCTGGTATATGAATAATATTTATTAATAAAAAAATTTTTCTTTTTTGTTTTTTTTTTCAAAGGACTTGCAAGTCTTCTTGAAGCACTTGAAATTCAACCATCAACATTAGCTATATGTAAATTAATGCTTGAAGAAGGTCATATACTTGCTATTGCACCTGGTAAAAAAAGAAGCATAAAGAAATAATTTAGTTATAAATGAATTTCTTTTTATTTTCTATTTAGGTGGTGTTCGAGAAGCTCTTTTTGGTGATCAGAATTATCATTTAATATGGAAAGAAAGAAAAGGATTTGCTAAATTAGCAATCGATGCTAAAGTTGTTAGTCACATTTTTGTTTTTTTTTGATATTACAATAAATGTACTTTGTTTTTTTTTGTAGCCTATCATTCCAATGTTTACAAAAAATTGTCGAGAAGCTGTACGAGCTATGACATTGGGTCGTCGTAAGTAATAATTTTATTCTAATTGAATAAAATAATATGTGAATTTTGATTTACAAAACAAAAAAAAAAAGTCTAATTTCAATTTAACATAAGAAATAAATTCACAATTACTTTCAAAAATTGAATCGAACTTTTGTTTGTTTAAAGTTTCGAATTATGAAATAAAAAGTCGAGATTAATTATTATAAGTTTTCATCAAAAAGTTCATATATAATAAATTTCTTTAGTTTTGAGTGTGAACATTCGACGTCTCATAATTCGCATTCACATCTGTCTTAAGGTTGACATCCAACTATTAAATTACTATTGTAGTTTTCTCGATATAATAGTTCATCGGTTTCTGCTTTGAATTTAGCAAGAGAAAATCTATCAATGATTTGCTAATGATTGAACAATTATATATTAGACTTGTGAGACTAAATACACATTCGAAATATAAACTTTTGGATAAGCAATTATAATCACTTGTTATTTCTTTTGATTTGATACTGAGACACTTGTACTTTAAAGGAACAAGAGCTCTATTCAATAACTAATATTAATATAAATTTATTCAAATAAAATTATTTTCTTCTATTCTTTAATCTCTTGTTTATGTCAGACTCGTCCATTGGTGTATTCTTGATTGCGAATGTTTGTTTGACGACAAGAATGTCTTTATCATACGAACAAGAGCTATTCATTACAAATACTTCGATTTAACAGAGAATATCATCCTTTTCGAATTAGTCTATTGTCAGATAGCAGAGACTTGAATCGTTCAGATGAGATTGGCCACATTACATACATGACTGATCCGCGTTCTAATAGCAAATGTTTTAATTTTTATATTTTTTTTCATACGCGGATACTCAGTCTTTTTAGGCGTAAGTCGTTCAGACTAAATTTTAATATATGATCTTAACGAAAGTATTTAAAGTGACGAAGATAAACTAAATAGAAATTTCGATCACAAACTGATAGTTAGTTTACCGGGATCCGGACACTTGCTCGTTAGGACAGTTGCTCGCGATAGGACCCTATGTGACTGTTATAGTGAGCAAGTGTCCTAAACCCAGTTTACCATTATCACCAGGGTTGCCAGATTGTCTGAAAAGTCAGGACAGTGTCTGAAATTTGGATGCCTTTCTGATTTCCTTCTGACAGTTTGATTTTCCCTGCTTTTCTCCGGAATTCTAAACTTTTCTAAATCATATCACAGCTTTTTTAGCGAAATTAAATCTTATCATAATTATTCGTGTGAACAATTTTATAAATATCTTTTAACTCAAACACATTTGTTAAAGCGAATTCGAAAAAATGGAAAATATGAACAATAATATCGAATCTATGTTACATAATCATTAGTTTTTTCTTTCATAGGATCTTATAACTTATATCGTATATGTGTGATTTGTTTTTGTACTTTTTTTGTGAACGACTTTTGAATTTAGCGAAAAAGTTCGACACTACGTGTCTTCATTAGTTTTTCCTTGTTAGCTAAACAGTATATTCATTGTATTATGCTTTTTTTATAGCGAAATATCTTTGAAAATAAAGTATGAATTAATGAACAGCGATTCAATAGAGCATCTTGTACCAACATGATACCATAATAACCACTAGGTTTTTCAAAAACTGACTTTTCTGATTAATTTCTGATTTTGCAAAAAAAAAAAAATTCTGATTTTTGAGTTTTCGATCTGGCAACCCTGATTATCACACAATCTAACAATAATGGAATAATGTTCAACAATTATTATATCAAACTGAAACGAAAAAATTACGAATAGTGATTAACATATAGATTAGTACACATAACTCAGATAAGTTTGAATAGTAGAAACTTATTTTCAATCTCAAAATTGTCTTTATTATTGATGTATGAATGTATTTAACATAATTGACATGATTGATGTTAATTATGAATCTAAAGATTGTAAAATGTTTAATCATCTGTCATTAATAATTTTTTTTTTTCTTTCTTATAATAAAACGTCTCTTAATTATGCTATATAGATATTTTCTAATTAGAGATCAATTTTGTCTTTCTTCTATTTGATTTTTTGTTTAACTAGTATTTTTTTCTTAATAAGAAAATATTCGTAATAATTGTCTTCAAATAATAAAATATTGATCTAGAATATTTAATTTTTGATTTTATATATTTTCTTTTATAATTATTTTATTAAAGAAGGACGAATTACGATATTGTCTGTATTTCTTTTAGTTTTTTTCATCTTTGTCTTCCTAAATATTTTATATAGAATAAAAATCTAACTTTCAATAATTGAATTAATATCTACTCATAATAATCATATTAAAAATATTTATCTCAATAAGCTCTTTCTATAATCGATAATTGTAAATGTTTATCTAGGCTAAGTAGTTCTAAGAATAGATGTTCAAATTGATTTAATATTCGATCATTGAAAAATTCATTGAAAACTTTGTTTTTTTTTCTTGTCTAGAAAAATTTTTTAAAATAATTAAATAATAAATTTTTTAGGATTTTTAAGTTATATTTATGAAAAAACTCGTTTACCACTTGTGCCTATTTATGGTATATTTCCAGTAAAATTAATGTAAGAATATAAATAAATATATTCAATGAATTATTTATTATATATTATTTAGTACATATCTTGGTGAACCAATTCCTTATGATCCAAATGTAACACCTGAAGCTCTTGCTCATCGAGTAAATATTATTTTCGTTTTTTTTTTGTCCTTTTTGAATAGAAATTTACATAACAAACATTCAGATTCGACATTAGGTGAGAAATTAAAAATATATTTTTAAATAGCTTGAAGACAACAATATGTTCGATTTTCTTTTTTAATTAACAAATAAAGATTTGCATGTCTATATTATGTCATAGGTAGAGTGCCTAAGACTTTCCACTAGAGAAAATTTCAAGAATAATTGTTAAAATTAGTTGGACATATGATGATTTTCATCAACTGTCATGTTGAGATAACTCAAAAAATATCAAACTATTTGACATGAAGTTTTTCTTGATAACAGAGAGAGCATTGAGCTATCAAATGACGAATCTAACTAAAGGATTTGATTATAGGATTTTTTAATTAAATTACTAAGTTTTCAATATAAGTCTATGCTAAATTTAGAAAACTAACTCTTATAAAAAATAAAGTCAAAATCATATTGATCTATTAAAACAATGTCCACTGTAATCTGTTACTATCTCAATGATGATGCTATTTTTGTTTTAGGTTAAAAAAGAAATTGAAACAATAATCGAAACTCATCAACGACGTCCGGGTAGTATAACAAGAGCTTTTTTTGATCGATTTATTAATTCATCAAAAACAAAAAAAAATTAAAATAATAATTTTCCATTTGTTCATGTTTTTATAATATAAATACCGGTGAAGAATATTATCTTCGTTGTATTGTATGTGCATATATATATATATATGCACTATTTATAATGTAATAAAAAAAAACAAACAAACGAATTGATTAATCTACTTCTTATTAAAAATAAATTTCCATCAAAAAAAAAAAATTATATTTTGTCTTATGTAATAATAATTATAATGTATGAATATCAATTTTTAAATTTGGATGTGTAAAAGGTATAAACCATAATGTTACCAAATATGATATAATTGTTGCAGCAAAATAAATAGAAAAAAATAAACGATCAATAACAAAACCAATAGCAAGCCATTGTAAACGTAAATAAAAAATATTATTTGCATAGGATGAAATTTTATGACGTTCACGATTACGTTTAACAATTAATTCCATTAATGTTTGATCAAAATTTGATGGATTATCATGACGTTGATTATATTGATTAAGAATATTTTCAATTAATTCACTTGAATTTTGTTGACGAGATTCAATAAGACATAATGTTGGTTCATCATTATCATTATTATCATATGTTGAACAATTTAATAATGAATGTTGATCACTTTGTGTATTCATTTGTTGTCGTACTAATAATGAATTTGTTGTTGATGATGGTGAACGTAATGGATGTATATTTTTTGATCGTTCTCGTGTATAAAGTAATACTTGTTGTAATAATAAATTTTCAATCATATTTTCATAATTAATATCAAGTTCATTTTTATTTGATGTTACTGGTAATGGATTTGGTTCTAATGAAAGACCAAATGATGCTGATGATTCAGGTTGAAACTAAAAAAAAAAAAAAAGACAAACAATTGCTATTGTACTCTCTATCTATATCATAAATTATATTGTCAAAAAAAATGTCAACTCTAATTTCTTTCGTAGGAAACGTACCAAATAGACTTGATTATTATAATTAATCATAGAAGACTTAAATAAAGATCATGCTGACTTTCTATTTTATCAACATATAATAACTTATATTATTCGATTACACAATCTAGTTATTCATGATAGAAAAATTCGTAAGATATATTACTAACGAGAAAAAAGACGAGTAACTTTTCGAATTTTCTCACAATCAATTAGATACATACACTTAAAATTCATTTTATCAATATTTATTCATCGCCTTTTCCCCATAAAATAAAAAAAAAAAAGAAAAACGAAACTGAAATTCTCCGATCTTATGAATGCTAATAAATAATAATTTAACTACTAGCAAGAATAAAAAAAAAAACAAAGAACTATTGTCAATTCATATCAATAGAATTAAAATCCATATCGATTTGTATAAGGTCGATATGATGTTGATATTGACATTGGTTGTACATCATCATATAAAACACCTTTTGGTATACAAATTGCAATAGCACGTCCAGCAAATATTGTAGCTATGAAACTAATTAAAAAATTAATACATCCCATAGCTAATTGTGTACTAGCAAGACCATAGGCAATTGTTTCAGTATCTGTACGTTGATTTGTTTTATTTTTTATTGTCATTATTTGATAAAATTTAATAATTAATGCAAAATAAATAATTAAATATATAGCAAATAATGTTGAAAATAAACACATTATAAAAAAACTTAATATTGATCCATAACTTTTTCGAATACCAGCTAAAATTCCCATTATACCAGTTAATAATGTAAAAAGACCAAATATACTAGCTGCATATGTCCATGGCCACCAATGATTATAATAATTTGATATTGTATAAAGATTATCATTTATATTTGTTGGACCATTAAATATACGTGGATATTCAAGAATTTGTATTACAATACCAATAATTATTAAAAGCATTCCAAATATATATCCATGTAAACTCCAATTTTCCCATGAATAATTTCGATTTATTTTCATATTTGGATACATTTAGTAGTAGTATATGACGTATAATGAATAGTTCACACACACACAAAAGAAAAAAAGAAGTATAGACAATAATAAATATGTTTCATCAAGTAAATTTTATTAACCGTTATGCATCATTGATCTTACTACTTCTCGTACGAACAAAAAAAAAGAAATATATGTACGAAACATCCAATCGAATAGATGAACTTTTCATTTATTTCAAAACAAACATATATATTCTCTTACCTTTTGACTCAATATAGCGTTGACCTTGTCCTGCAGATGAAAAAGCGGAGATATATACATAAGCGTAAACTTAATCAACCATCGGGGAGCACGATGTTTTTCTGATGTACACATGGCAGCTTGTTGATATACATTAGCAACAATAACAGCCATGATTACTGAGATTGACTGTAAAAGAAGATATAAAAAGACAAAAAAAAAAAACCACATGATAATAATTTATCATACTTACTGTTAAACTCATAACAATTGTCAAATAGATTCCTTAAAATGTATAAGATTAATGATTAGAAGAATTTTCGTTTTTTTTATACAAAAAAACAAATTTACCTATAATAGGCACTGTATCAGATGTTGCTGGAACTTTTTCAGCTACCATAAGCATGAAAACTGAAAATGCAACAAAACATGTTAAGCCAAGTGTTACTTTTTCACCAGAAGATGTTGGCAACCTTTAATTAATAAATTTTCTTTCTTTAAAAAAAGAAAACAACTGAGATAAATTTACTTACCAAAATGACATACATGTCAAACATGAAAGCATAGCACATGGAATTATTACATTAAATATGTAATATAATGGACGACGACGAATATGAACACCATAAACTAATTCAGAATAAGTTCTATTATTTTTTGTTCTGAAAAAACAAAAAAAAAAGAATTGAATCAGATGAGAAGTTTTAATACGATGTTCTTCACATAATTTATATTATATAGTATTTGATATGAAAGTCAGTATGATAGTCAAATAGATTTTTAAAAGTAATTATATATTTAATTTTCAAAAAAAAAATATAAATCAATTTATAAAATTTAAATATTAAAATTCTTTAAAATGTGTTGTAAATTAGTTTGAAAACAAAAAAAACTTTATTAAATTAATATTTATCTTCTTCATATTGAAATTTTATTTTCTTTCGAATAGGAATAAAAAAAAAAAAGTTCGACATTGATGTCTTATATTCAATCAAAAAAACTACTCTCTAATATTTATGCCAAAATTTCAATCTTATATAAACACATAAATTCTTTTCATTCCTTATTAATATGTATATTATAATTAAGCATTGATTTTCTTAAATCAAACTTTGTACTTACTAAATATAAAACTTGTTCTATGTTAGATTTTTAAATTAGAAACAAATGAAAGATTATAAAATAACTTACCGCCATACAAGACCTTGTTGAACATCAAGTATAGCCCAACCACTATTTCTTATACTTTCTGATTGATATGAATCATTTGAATTTGCAACAAGTTTATAATTAATTAATGATATATCATAAATCCATGATGCAAATTTTAAACCACATATTTGTCGATCAAATGGAAAATATTGAATATTTACTTTACATGTTGTACGTAATTTCATTAATACAGGAAAAACAACTTCACCTGTATGATAAACCATTACATATGGACCTTAAATAGAATAAACCATATCAAGAAAAAAAACATTTAAATTCCTATCAAATATATACCATTAACAACTCCTTGTGTTGGTGCTTGACTTGAAAGATCAAATGCAGCATTATAAATATAACTATCAGGTAACCATATACGATGTGATGGTAAACGAATACCACGTATACCATCATGTTCGGTTTGATTCCAAGCAAGATTTTCATCAACCCATGTTTGTTCAATACGTACATTAGTTGTTAATATTTGTGTTTTTTCTTCCTAGAAAAAACGATATATAGAAATCTATATATATATATATAAATCTAATTCTTTCTTACAAGTTCAAATAATTGTGTAATTTCCATTCGAAATGAAACAGTAACTACTGCTTGAGCTTGTAATACTGGTCTTACTGATGGTTCATAATATTGTAATAATTTTCGTATAAGTTCTTGTTCACTCGTACAAGCTATTTTAAGTATTTTTTTTTTTGAATTGAAATCAAAATAAAATTTTATGCAAAATAATTTATCTTACCAACGTACGAAACAATAAACATGAACAAGAATACGACGAGATTCCTATTCATATAATTTACATTAGATCGACGAGCACAATAAGAAAAGAAATGACGAAGAACATGATGAAAAAGATCGGCTGTCCGCAAACAATAGAATCTTTTATCTGAAATCACAAAAAAAAATTTCTCTTTTCCTTCTCTTAAGATCATGCAAATATTCGTATTGGTTCTTTCTTTTATGATCACCATCATCATTCGCCATTTAGTGTTAGCCTTTCTATCCATTTTCTCGATTGTATTTCTTTTCTCAAAGACACGATCGACACTCGGATAGAACTGAAGGGAGACGATACAAACATCTGTCTTTACCTCGGAAGAAACAAGAAGAAGAGAGATTTATCATTCGACACCATCACTAATCTTGTTTATTGTCGTTCTATTTAAGCGAGTAGCAAAAGAAAGTGTGTGTGTGTTCGGCAAATTGCATTTCATCTATCTCAATCGCTTCCTCGTATAGACATGCAACTGCGCTACTCACTGTGAAGCGCAACACACATGACACTTCCATTGACTAGATATATATATATATATATTTATATTGAAAGGTCTACATTGATGATAAAAATAAGGAGAAAAATAAAATGATGGAATATACTACTTAGACAAGAAAGTGAAGCATTTGCAACTAACGTACGCTGTTTTTTACTCAGCATGTTATTACTTGAAAATGAAATAAAAGTGTCTTCACAACAGGATCTTATTATCTAATTTAGATATGAAAGAAAAAAGGAAAAAAAAAATCTTTTTTTAGATAAATGAAAATTAAAGTAATCTCAACATAATAGGATTCATAATAGAAAAGCTAAAAAAAAATAATAATGAAATAATTAGAGTACAAGAATTTAGTTCTTTTTGTAAATTATATATATATTAAATCTTCATTATATTAATTTATAAACTAAATTGAATTTTATGCTTGAACAGAGCATAACCATAATTTTTATCTTTTCACCAAAAGAATTTTGTTTGTTTTTTTTTCTTCATTGCAAATAATTCAAATTTTTTATATCAATAATTTTGATTTGAATATTTTTTACTTTAGTTTATAAATTAACTCGAATTAACTTATTTTATCATAAAATAATCAAAAATAAAAAATTTCGATATAATAATTTATATTAATGTCATCTAGCGACCTCATCTAAATAGACATATTGATTTGTGCATTTTAATTTCTCACTGCGTCATATTACTGCATGAGATTTTTCTCTCTAACCTTCAGTAATAATAGCATGAAAACAGGTATTTTTATTGATTTGTTGTCTTTTTTTTTTTAGATGAGTTTTAATCGAATATTTCGTTCATGTTCTTTTCATCGTTTATGGTTTTCATTAAATCATATTCGTACAGTTTATACAGCTCAATCAGAATTATCACCTCTTCAAATTTATCGAAATAAAGTTGAAGCATATGAGGTTTGTTTATTAATTGATATTATTCAAAAAAAAAAGAAATCAAATGAAATCTTGGTTTTTGGTTTTTTTTTATAAATATTTAGTTACGTTTTGATTCACGTCAAGAACAATTAATGACTATACTTGATAAATTATATTATGATCTACAAACTTATATACCTGAACCAAGATATATTGAAACAACAACATTACCAGATGAAATAAAAAAAAATTTCTTAACAACATTAACAAATGTTTTCAAAACATCGAATTCAACAAATGATTTTATTGAACAACCAAATTCATTGTATATCTACGGTGGTGCTGGTTGTGGCAAGGTATTGATAAATTATTTTCGTTTATGTTATTCATACTTATATCCATAGAACAGAGTCTTCTTATGGATATTTTCTTCGAATGTATGCCAATCAAAGAAAAACGACGAGTACATTTTAATAGTTTTATGCTTGAATTTCATAATCGTGTTGTTTAAAAAGATTAATTTGTATTTTTATTTTTTTTTGTTTAATGATTTTATTTTAAAGGTATGCATCGAATTCGAAGTAATAATGCAGCTGTATCTGATAATCTTCTTGGTAGTGTTGTTGAAGAATTACTTGATGAAATATGGCTTTTATGTTTTGATGAATTTATGGTATTAGATATTGGTGATGCTATGATTATAAAACGTTTATTTGAACATTTATTTGCTAAAGGTATGATTATGATTGCAACATCAAATCGTCCACCAGATGATCTTTATTATCGAGGATTAAATCGAGAATATTTTCTACCATTTATACCATTTCTATATCGAATGTGTACAGTATATAATATGGATTCATCAACAGATTATCGTTTAATTGGAACTCAGGTATGATATATATATATATTAGCATGAGCCCGTACATACTGTACGGCTGTTTTTTTCCTTTAACGTATGACCTTTCACTCAATAAGGACATATGGACACTCGACATTATGTATATAGATAGCCCTACGGTCTCATACTCTTATATCGCACATATTTTTATAGTCCATGTAGCTTTTGGCCTTATAGCTTTACTCCCTTCAGGGCCTATGGGTAACCCCATAGTGTAGCCCTTGAGGACCTATGAGTACGCCCATATGATAGCCCTTGGAAACCTTCTTCTTATTGTCTTATGACCTTTGACCATGAACAGAGAAACAGACAGGCACTGAACATTATGTCTATAGATTTTACCTCAAAACTAAAAGTTGTCTCCCCAGGTCGAAGATTCCGGCCACCGGATCCTGGGGAAAAACACCGGAACAGGGTGGTAGTATTCCGGTCGGAAAATTTTTGGATTTTTGCCGATGGCTTTCGGTCAACTTCCTCCTGTTTTCTGCAGAAAGTTGACCAGAATTC